CTCGACCACAAGACCACCGTCATTCCTACCGGCTACTGGTTACTAAAAAGCCATAAACATATTTTTTTGTTCCCCCTTCGATAGGATGAGCCATCCAACCACCAAATAAAAAAAAAAATTAAATATAAATCCAGCCCCGTGCGCGTTTATTAATTAGAATTTATGGTCCGGCAATTGTCGCGTCCATATAAAGACAATAAATAGCCATTGTAGATGTTGGACTTTTTTTTCCAATACTTTTTTTTCCAATTCGGAGTATCTTATCGGCGAGACATGAAAAGCGCTTTCTGACTTTCCGGACAGGTGAAGAGGTCTCCTTCAGGAGCGTTATAATTATTTTAGGCGGAAATCTTTAAATGAAATCTTTAGAAATCTTTCGGGGCTTTAACAGGAAATGCTTTACAAGGAGAAGGTCAAAACCATACTTGGTCACACTATTTTAAAGGATTCTTTAGAGGCTTGAGATAATGATGGAAAGCTATGGATTATATATAGATATTTAGATATTTTCTTTAATGAAAACTTATCCTTTTGATCTTAACAATCTTAAAATAAAAACCTGAACCGCTCCTGTTTTGTGGCCACACGCCACCTTGGCCATCAGGAAGATCTGGCCAAAAGTCGAGCACTTGCCGGCCTCCGTCAGCTAATGCAAAAAAAAAAAGAAGAAGAAGAAACAGTAGCTGTATAACTCTGGCCCCGCCCACCTAACAGCCGGGTAGGACCCACACCTGTGTCTTCTGGCTATCTCGCATTCTGGCCCCAAAGGCAAATCAAAGCCAAAAAAAAAAAGTTCACAAACAGTTACCTGGCGGCTTTCGAGTCTCCCGCTCCCTCTTCATCCTCTATCTCTGTCTGATTATTTACAGTTAGCTCTGTCCAGGCGATAACCTTGTATATATATTTATAAAAATATATATCTTGGCTAGCTCTTGGACCGCCATTTACGATTACCCTCGTAGTCTTGAAGCCAGCTGCTGCGTCGACTGCGGCAGCGGCAGCGACTGAGGCAGAGGCAGCGGCAGAGACTTGAACCGCGACTGCGACGCCTGCCACTAATCACTCCAATTAGCTAGAAAGTGCTTTTCGTTTAAAATTCGCACGTTGTCGCAGTTTCTTGGCATTGTTTTGCGAGCCAGCTACTTGGCCAGTTCCAGTTCCCTTTTTTTTTCCCCAGTTTGTTATTATTATTAATTTTTTTTTTTTTGGTAACTTTAAGTTAATTTCAAACTTGGTCCAAAGAAAAAAAGAGACAAACTTAAAAAAGAAAAAGCCGAGCAGAGTTCCGTGTATCCCGAAGGATTCTTCCTGTCCCGCCGTCGCTACCAAAAATTAAACAAATGAAAAAATTGTGAGTGTTGTTCCCGAAAGTGAAGATCCTCTCAGAAATCAAAAGCAAAATTAACAAAAAGCTAAAGAAATATAAAAAAAATAAACCCATTGAACCGAGTTAAAAAGCCACAAAACGTAAAATTCGAATGCATAGCGAATTCATTGAACAAAAAAGTAAAAAATAAAGACAGAAAAATAACAATAAAAAATAAAAGCAGAAAAAAAAACTGTAGTATGTAGTAATAAATTTCAAAACAAGACATTAAAATCGACAAAGTTTAGTTACTCTATAAAATATTTTAAATAAAAATAAATAAGAAATAGAAAAACCTTGCCAAAAAGTGAAAGAAAATTAAATCAAGTCCTCTTGCTATTTCCATTGAATTCTTTTGAAATAAAATCCTTGATTTGTTGCTAAAATATTTGTAATTAAAACCTAAAATCCAAGCCAAAGTTTTCAATGTTAGAGTATTTTTTAAAGTCTTTCTTTTTTCTGCAAAATACGTTTGGGTGAAGGGCCCCAAAAAAACCATAAACTTAAAATGAGAAATAATCACAATGCCCAACAATCAAATATTAAATAATAAATAAATACAAAAAAAAAACCCTTTTGCCAAAAGCCACTTTGTAGGCCACTTAAGTCTAAAGATCTATAGATAATGCAGATTGTCTATAGCCGATTTCAAAACGCGTTGAAAAATTAAAGACGAAAAAAAATAACGAATCGTGTTATAAAGTCCGCCTTTGATGATGTTGCGTTATTTAGCTAGAATAACAATTGAAATTGAAATTGAAATTCGTTGTTTCGTTCGTCTTCTGCTTTTAGTTTTAATGGCATTTGGCGCGTGTCGCATTTTTTTTTGTTTTCAATATTTTTCTTTGTATATATAAATTAACTCACACGCAGCAGCCATAAAAAAAAACTTTGGCTTAAAAAAAAAACTGCCAATTGCCAGACCAAGTTCGGCAAGACGAAATTCCATTTCCAGTATCTATATAATAGATATATATAGTTCTAGCTTATATAACTGCAATCTGGAAAATCCAGAAAAACTCTAACCAACTAATTGAAAATATTCTGGAATTTTCTGTTTCTTTTTTTTTGAGAGAGAATTTTTTGTTTCAAGACAGCTGTTTGGGTTTCGGGGGTAATTAGCATTAGGTTCGAGTTTTGGAGCCAATGACGTCAGACGACGGTCGCCAGTAGCAAGTTCTTTATGAGTTATATTAATTATGACCAGGTTTTTGGGATTTTTAGGCGCCTTCCAAAAAAAAATAAAAAAGAACGATTTAAACTGCGCCGTAATCGAATCGTATTATCTGGACCATGTAATCAATTATTGTTTTGGGGCTTTCGGGATTTCGTAGTTGAATAATAATCCCCTCTACTCCAAATTTTCTTATAGACTGAGTAAATATCTGTGTTATCGTGCAAATACAATGACTGTCAGTGACATAACTGTAGGTCTGAGCTCTCTGTGATGCATAATAACTGAAAGTCACAAAACTATCACATGTTCGGATTGCACAATTGCGAAAGGGATCATTTTGCAACCTCCGACGAGAGAGTTCTTATAACATCAATCAGTCAGTGTGGCCAGACAGCTATTGTAGGGAAAAAGTGTGGCCATCCAGATGCAAAAATCAAGAACTGTCTAAAAATACAAGTTTGACGATAGTTCCCGCCGTTAATAAACAATAATTAATAATTGAAAATTCACCCAGTTCCCAGAAAGTCAATATCTCTAAAAATAATAAACATTTTTGTGAGTTTTTTGCGACACGTGACAGAAGTGACTAAGCTACGCAAGCTTTATTTTTGGTCTATATCCTATTCTGTTTTTGGTGCTTAGCATTTTTTTATTTAACATAAATGAATATTAATTTGCATGGAATTGTAAAAAAGAAACCGAACCGACACCAACCGCCGTTCGATCATCATCTTCCATATTATTATAAGTCATAAATTTGTGTGGCAAATTTTGCGTATTTTTATGCTGGACCGACTGGAAGCTTTGTTTATTTCTGTTAGCATTGTTAGTTATCATTAATTTTTTTTTGTTTCGTTTTTATTTCCTTTGAGAATTTCTATGCCAGTGTCTCTCTAGCCATAAAAAAGTTTACCCAATTTTTGTTGTTTTTATACCCTTGCAGAGGGTATTATAATTTTGGTCAAAAGTGTGCAACGCAGTGAAGGAGACATCTCCGACCCTATAAAGTATATATATTCTTGATCAGGATCACCTCCTGAGTTGATATGAGCATGTCCGTCTGTCCGTCTGTCCGTCTGTCCGTCTGTCCGTCTGTCCGTCTGTCCGTCTGTCTGTCCGTCTGTCTGTTTCTACGCGAACTAGTCTCTCAGTTTTAAAGCTATCGTCTTGAAACTTTGCACACACCCTTCTTTCCTTTGCACGCAGTATATAAGTCGGAACGGCCCGGATCGGCCGACTATATCCTATAGCTGCCATATAACTGATTGATCGGAAATGGTATAACTTTGGTGTTTTTAGAGTTAGAGAGTTCAAATTTGACATGTGAGCTATTTTTGGCAAAACATTACGTCATGCCAAATTTCATAAGGATCGGCCGACTATATCCTATAGCTGCCATATAACTGAACGATCGGAAATGACCCAACTTTCGTGTTTTTGAAGATAGAAAGCTGGAACTTAGTACAGATTTAATTCTTGGTCAGTTGATCCAACCTACCAAATTTCATTAGGATCGGCCGACTATATCCCATAGCTGCCATATAACTGAACGATCGGAAATGGTATTTGGTAGAAATATCAACTTTCGTATTTTTGAAGATAGAAGTTTGGGACTTTTTTTAGATTTTGTATTGTAATAAATTGGATTATATATTCCTATTCCCATAAGGATCGGCCAACTATATCCGATGTTTGCGATATATATCCGGTTTTAACTGCAAGGGTATATAAACTTCGGCTCCGCCCGAAGTTAGCTTTCCTTTCTTGTTTTTATTATTACTGGTTTTTTTTTACTATTGTATTTTGTCGCTTCAGTTGAGGGGCCTGAATAATAGTTTTGGGATAGTGCCTAATATGCAATTAATTGGACATGAACTTGAACAACGAGCCAGGGAAGGGAGGTGGGGGTAATGTCAATTATAAACAATTAAACAATGGCGCAAAAATTGGTAAGCAACCGATGGGAACCGAAAGCCTGCCAAACGGAAAATGGCAGCAAAACACACACGTGAATGGGGAAGACTCTTTTTTTTGTTTTTTTATAAAAAAGCACTCTAGTGTTCTGTGTCCGAGTCTCTCAATATATTATCTATATTGTCATTCAGTCAGCCATTCAGTCACTCAGTCAGTCAGTCAGTGTCATCAATTTATCTACGAAATTTCCGACAATTATGGCCTGGCCCAGGCAATTTTCAATAACGAAAAAATCTTTTCTGTTGCGGCTAGCCAGTCTCGGTATAAAAAATTATTATTAATTTTTTTTTATTATTATTGTTATTACTTTTGCTTTTTCGCTGAGAGTGAGCCGTGCTCTACACAGAGAAAAATGGGGGTCTAGAGATATTCTACATATATTTAAACCTAAATTTTAAACCTTAAATTTTAATAAAAACTAAGGGTATTACTTGTCCAACAAATGGATTTATAATCTCTGTTTCTTTCTTCTTGTTTTTGCAGTTCACTTCTTTCCCCCTTGTCTTAATTGATTAACTGGGCCCAAACCAAACCAAACAAAAACATATAAATTGTATAAATAAACACAAAATAAAGGAGTAAAGAACCAGCACGATGACTGGCTTCACCAACGCTGGTTTTGAAAACGATGAGCCCGTCAAGGTGAGTGTTTCCACAAAGTAACTTATTTTTACCCTTTTTTTTTGTATTTTCTTGGTTCCAAGTAGTTCTCTGCCCCGGGGGAGTTATACATATATGATGTACCTACCTACCTTTTTTTTTTTGTTCTTACAAGTTGGTCATTTATTTTGAAGTTGAAACAAGTGTTGCGGACAATGCGTCAATGTACGCATAATGAAATCACCTCACCGGCAAAAAAAAACAGAATTAAATCTTGTAAACAGAAACAAAAAAAGGCAGAAAACACAGAAAGGCAATTTTCTACTCGAAGCCGGCAAGAAAGAAATCACGAAACTCAAATAAATCTCATTATTCCGGGTTATTATTCTGACACTATTTCAATTCCTACACACTTTTGCATAATTAACCAGAAACAGAATTATATATTGTTATTCTTTGAGCGATTACTATCAAAGGGGGTTATTATTTCTCTTTGTTTTGTTGACAGTTGATAGAACTATTTTTATGGCATTTTTTTCGAGGGCTTTAAATTTCTTTCGAGGTCTCTAGAATACATTTAAATTCTTGAAACTTTGGCCAAACAATCGGTAGCATTTTTTTAAAAATTATGTAAGAATTTAACCGAAAAAAAATAAATTATCATAAACTGGCAAAACCCTGAGGTGGCCCATGATCCGGCTTTAAGCCAAAATGGCTTGGGCATTTCCCGGTTTTTTGTTTCGTCTTGATTCGATTTTGTTTAGAACTTATCGGCCATCGGCGAATTGACCATAAAAAGCAGCCACTTGAAAATTGTTGTCACATTCTCACTCCTACATATATATTTCTATATATATATATATAGATAGATTTTTCATTCATTATAGTCTATAAAGTGTATTTGCTGGATTACACTTATCGAGTGTCTGGGTCGATCGTTGGCTTGGCATTACTATGTATTTTGGAGTTATAGTCGTTATATTATTAATGACTGTGTTTACCTTCGGCAAAGAAATCATGTTTTATAATGACACGCGTCATGGCCTAGTTTATAGTCTGTTTATAGTTTATTATGATGGGGTAGGGGTAGGGGTAGGAAGTGTCCAATAAAACCGATGAAAATCAAAATTCAAGATGGTCATCATTAGCATTTTGGCGGCCACTCCTTTGGCTTTGGCTTTTAATGAGGCGAAATAAATTTCACCTCAAGAAACTGAAAACCAAAAAACAAGAAAAAGAAATGTGACAGCAGAAAGCAGGCAACAAGCACACAAACACACACAGAGAGACTTGTATTTATGGATATGTCTCTTAGCCACAAACTTGACCAGAAAATTTGGCAATAAATAAGGTAACAGAAACAGAAGAAATACAAGAAAAGATACAAGAAAATGTAAGCTAAAGTGGCGTATAAACTAACGACACTGACACAACGTATTGCACAATTAAAGCACCGACAAGGTTTCATAATAAAATATTGCCAATTTACAATGGCACCGCCCATCCCCCCCACCTGCTGATCACTCCACTTAAACATAAAAAACTGTCCAAGAAACCCAAGAGGTCCAAACCTCCAGCCGCACCCTGTAATCGGTTCTTGAGAGATCAGACCAAACTTGTTTCTTTCCCTCCTCACTGCAGAACCAATGCGGCCAAAAAAATAAAAAAAACGCAAAAAACACACAAATAAATAAAAGTAAAAATAAAAATAAATAAAAGAAACCAAAGAATGGTCAGCAGACTAACAAGTTACAACAATGAGGTTTAATAGAATAGGTGTTAAGGGTCATCTTGAAAGGGAAGTTTAAAAATAGTAGGTCTCATAATTACTATTAAATATAAAGGATAATTTTAAGAAAAAAACATAATATATTATTAGAATATTAGAATATATTCGAATATATAATAAACTTCTTAAAAATTCTTACCAAAAAACAGCTCCCATTTGTATGCCCTCCATAGTATGTAAAGCACTCAAGCCACCAAAAAGGCTTGTGTAAAAAAAATCCCCAAAAGAGGGTGGTGGGGGTCTTGGGGACGAGAGTGGTCAGTGACAAGGTGGTGAGGGGTGGGGCAGGTGGTGTGGCAGGCGGGAGGCCAGTGAGCAAACACGAAACGTGCCGCGTTTAAAAATAAAACGCAAATCTCGTGCGGCTCAGAAGCGCGTGCGCAACATGTTGTCACACACAGATACGTATCTGTATCTTTTAGATACACGCACACCCCACTCACAAATACACGCAGACACAGATATTTGTGGAAAACTGGCAGTAGGTCGCTGGCAACATGTTGCCAAAGTTGGCGAACCCGAAATAGCTTCATAAATTTGAATTTTAATTGGAAATGGTAAACATAAATTGTTAAGTCAAATAAACTTGGGGTTTTCGCACATTTTAAAACTAGTTTTGTTTTATATTTTATTTTAATAATAATTTTAAAAAATTATTAAGTGCTGGTTTCTTCACTAAATTCTTAAAAAAGGATATTTCAAACAAATGTTTCGCGAATTATGATTATAGTCTTGTAACAACGTTGATTTTGAAAATTTGAACTTTTAACTTTTAAAAAATTATCTTTTTAAATTTAAAATTCTAACCAAATATTTTTTAAAATATTTCTTTTTTTGTCTATAACCCATATATTTTTTATAGTTTTTTTTCAATACTGTCAGTGCTTGTGTGCGTTGAATAAATTCAAATAAAATGCACACACCTGCGGCCACACTCGAAGAGACAGTCACAGTCGCCGTACCGTCACCGACGACGTCCCGCCGCTCACCTGGGGGCCGCTTTGAACTGGTTTATGGCGGTTTTTGTTTGTCTCGACTAGAGACACCACAGTCTCTGGCAGCGCTGCCGGCGTCTCAGTTGCAGTCTCTGCCATCGTCTCGCATATCATTATGGCCAGTGTGTGCCAGTGTGTAATACCATTAGTGTGCCAGTGTGTGTGTTAGGTGTGTGTGTCTGTGTGTGCACTGGCATTATTATTACGCGCACTTGTTCCAAAGCTCGGCTTGGGCTTGCAGGCTTACTGTTTCTTCGAAAAGGAAAAACAAAATATAGACAAGAAAATATCGCTAAAGACACAAAAAAAACATCAGCTGTTGGCATGAAAAGCCCACACAACAACAACAACAAACAAACAAATAAAACAAACAAATAAACAACAAACACAGACGCTGTTGAGAGTGGTTTTCCAGTCTTGGTCTTGGTTTGGTTTTTTTTTGCCTTGTCATGGTTTTCTTACCTATTTGTTGGGTAAAGGGATATATGTAAAAAAATCTATATATCTCTAGCTTTTGAAATACATTTTTTCAAGTGTATTGCATTGTAATTTAATAGCTTGACAAAGAAAAGAACCCTTTATTCGTGATTTCTGGTATTTGAAATTCTAAGAAAAATGAAAGTCTACGCTTGGGTTTATTGTATTAATTAATTAAAATTAAAAACCTCAAAGTATTTATAAATGATTCAGTTTTCAAAACAAATTCAGAAAAAAACCCTTAAAATAGGTTAGGAAAATAATAATTCATGTTTTTCGCTAAACAGCCAACAGGGCGTATGAGTTATGTGATTTATTTTGTTTACTTGCCTGCTTAGTTTTCAGTTTCCTAATTAGTGAGTTATTTTTAGTTTTCTTAATAATTTTTTTCAATATTTTTTTTGGTTTAAATTTCTCTGCTCTTGACTTAATTTTTTGAGATTAAAGTGGAATGTTTTTTTAATTCTTTTTTGTTTTTTTTTTTTATGTTTTGCTGATAAAATTTAACAGTTCCAGGTAATACTTTTTTTATTCAATTTTTTCCTTTGCCTCTTAACAAACAAAAATTTAAATGCAATTTTATTATGCTGATTGTTTTTCTGTTTTTTTTTTTCTTTTTTTTTAATGTCTATATCTCGATGAAATCTGAAATCGTTTCGGAATTTGCATACAAAACAAAACGAGAGTTTCTATATACTAACAACCGATATCGTGTGAACAGAAACTATTATGTACTGTAATTAAGTTCATATTGTTAGCTAAAAAAAAATACAAAAAAATCACTAAAATAAAACAAAACAAGTTGGAAGGAAAAAAACGAATAACAAAAAAATGTAATCGATTGTGAGTTGCATAATAACGCGTGTGGGTTAAGCCAAACTTGCCACAGCACCACCACCACCACCACCCCCCTGCGCACCTGCCCCCCTTTTGTAGTACACCCATGTACCATGTAACCTTCTTGCCCTGTGCAGTGCATGCAAAATTGCCATTTTGGGGTCTTTAGTCTGAGCTCTGGGTCGGTTCTCGGACACTATTTTGATCGGGGAGCTGAGCTGTGGGCCTTTTTTGGGCTCCCCCTGGGGGTATTACGATGCGTTCCGAGCATTTTGATGGCCAACTTAAGCGCCAAAAAGGCCGCGGCACGCATGCGCAATGCGAAAAACGCGCGCGAAACGCGAGCAAAACGCGTGCGGGCTTTATAAATTGATTTTTCGATTAAATTCAAATTTTTTTTTTTGTATTTTGTAGAAACTAAAAGCGTAAAATGCGCCAACATATAAATAATTAATTAATGCATCAGAGTAACAGGGAAAAAATGAAAGCTTTGAAAAGAATATAGACGAATGGAAAATACTCTTTAAGGGAAAAATTTTCAAGCCCTAAATTTAAATTATTTTAAATGAAAGATAACAAATTAAGGAAGTTTGGTTCTACTTCCTTACAACATTAAAATGTTTACAAAACCTATTTTTTTCGAGTAAAATGTATAAGACTTTCATAAAAAAAAAAACCCACATTATTTCTCTGACTGTATTTTATGGCAAACTTTTTTTTATCACCCCTTAAAAAACAAGAGATTAGTTTTAATTAAGAAAGACTTTATTATGTGAATGCCCAAGGTGGTGTATGCGGCAATTTAAATAAATTATTTTAAATATCCGAAATCATACCAAGAAAGTGGTGAGTTGAGCTTTTGAGATAAGAAAGAAAGTAGGATCATCCGCATGGAGAGGCCCCCTGAGCACAAAACTCAAAAACCCAATGATCATACGAATACTGATACGAGTATCTTTTTCATTTTGGCTTTTATTTTTTTTCGTTCGTTTATATTTAGCCAAAAGCTGGTTTCGAGCCCGACACCGCCTCACTTCGGGAGAAAGTTGTGCTGAATCCGGGCGAGAAATGGCGCATCTTAAAGAATATCTCGATCATCTCGATCGCCTTCATGGTGCAGTTTACAGCGTTTCAGGTATGTAATTAATTAACCATTAAACAGAGACATAAACACAAAAAATAAACCATCAACACTTTCGGCTTTTAATTTTGATTTTGTGATCAAATCTTTTAGTAATTCATAGCAAATATTTAAATTTACTTTTGTTAAATTTAATAAAATTGCTACGAAGGGTTTGTTTGCTGAAAATATTTTTTAACTATCACTTCTTGCTCTTAAATACTTATTTTTTTCAATTTTCAATTTGCGTTCCTTATTATTTTCTTGTTTAATTTGTATTTTTTTTAATGCATTGTTTGGAAAAATATATACTATTAGATTTTATTTCGATTTTTCTACTAAAACTTTATTCTTAAACTTATGATTTAATTGCACGTATATTTTTAGCAAGCAATTTCCACGCAAATTAGTTTAAAATAAAATAAAAAATAGCGCCAAAAATTGTTGTGCATAATTAACAATGAAAACTAATCCAGGATTCTATTTAAGAATTAAACAATTACCAAATATTTAATATCTTACCTTCTTCTAGGGAACGGCTAACTTGCAATCCTCCATCAACTCAAAGGATGGCCTGGGAACAGTTTCCTTGAGCGCCATCTACGCCGCCCTGGTGGTGTCCTGCATCTTCCTGCCCACGCTCATCATCCGGAAGCTGACCGTCAAATGGACTCTGGTCTGCAGTATGCTCTGCTATGCCCCCTACATTGCCTTCCAGCTCTTCCCGCGATTCTACACTCTGGTGCCCGCTGGTATCCTTGTGGGTATGGGAGCAGCGCCTATGTGGGCGTCCAAGGCCACCTACCTGACGCAGGTGGGACAGGTGTATGCCAAGATAACGGAACAGGCGGTCGATGCCATTATCGTGCGCTTCTTTGGCTTCTTCTTCCTGGCCTGGCAATCCGCCGAGCTCTGGGGCAATCTCATCTCCAGCTTGGGTACGTTTCGACATTTAATCATAATTTTTAGGGCGGAAATATAGTTTGAATTCCAGAATATCAAAACACCCAATGACGGTCAGATTCCATAAGTTAATCTTATCGCATCGGCGCATTAATAAAACCATAAAAATTGGCTACAAAAATATTAATTCAGAATTAGTATTTGATTTTAGGCAGCTACCGAATAGATTAGAGCCCAATTTCCAGTCATTAGCCATTGTTTTTGCTGATTTAGATAAGAAAGAGTCATAAAGTTTTGTTTATTAAAACGAATTTCGGGCTGGAAAGGTTCTAAATTGAATTAAAATTAGTCTTTTTTTTTATATAAAAATATAAAATATTAATTATATTTTTTCTTAGATATTCAATCATTTCTATAGTCTATTTTTGGGATCACTCTTTTAAACAGACTTTTCTACAATCCTAGAAACCCATAATAACACTATCCCTCTTTACAGTCCTCTCCAGCGGCGCTCATGGAGGTGGCAGCAGCTCCTCAAACTCAACAATCAGTGAAGAGGATCTCCTGCTTTGCGGCGCCAATTTCTGCACAACCGGCAGCGGTGGACACGGAAATCTGGAACGCCCGCCAGAGGATGAGATCTTTGAGATCTCGATGATCTATTTGTCCTGCATTGTGGCCGCCGTATGCATCATTGCCTTTTTCCTGGATCCCCTCAAGCGGTATGGTGAGAAGAGGAAGGGCTCCAACTCCGCAGCGGAATTGTCTGGACTGCAGCTGCTATCGGCGACATTCCGGCAGATGAAGAAACCGAATCTACAGCTCCTCATACCGATCACCGTCTTCATTGGAATGGAGCAGGCCTTCATCGGTGCGGATTTCACCCAGGCCTATGTGGCCTGTGCCCTTGGAGTTAACAAGATTGGATTCGTGATGATCTGCTTTGGTGTGGTTAATGCTCTGTGCTCGATCCTTTTCGGATCGGTGATGAAGTACATTGGCCGCATGCCCATCATTGTATTGGGTGCTGTTGTCCACTTCACCCTGATCACCGTGGAGCTGTTCTGGCGTCCCAATCCCGATAATCCTATCATATTCTATGCCATGTCCGGGCTGTGGGGCGTTGGTGATGCCGTGTGGCAGACGCAGATCAATGGACTGTATGGTCTGCTGTTCCGCCGGAACAAGGAGGCCGCCTTTTCTAACTACCGCCTGTGGGAGTCCGCCGGATTCGTTATCGCCTATGCCTACGCCACCACTCTGTGCACCCAAATGAAGCTCTACATTCTGTTGGCGGTCCTCACGCTCGGCTGCATTGGCTATGTCATTGTTGAGATCCTCTACAGGAAGAAGGTGAGTTAGTTTGTGTGGAGAGGCGACTATGCATTGCCTGGTTCGAAATCTCATCATCAAAGCTAAGCCTCATCACCAAGGACAATCACTATCATATATCGAAACAATCGATCATCACTAACGTCCCTTTTGGCGACAAAGCCTCATCACCAAGGACAATCACTATCACTTATCGAAACAATTACTCATCCCTAACGTCCCTTTTGGCGACAAAGCCTCATCACCAAGGACGCAAGTTCTGCCATTTATCGAAACAAGTGTCATCACTAGCTGAGTCGTGCTTTAACACTGCTTGCCTAAAAGTAGTCTACACTTTTGCTCGCTCTTTACTAACGGTTCTACCGCTTTCTTTTTTTTGCAGCAACGCAAGGTGAAGAAGCAGGAGAAGCTGGAGGCGGCAGAGAAGGAGAAGGAGGCCGCCATAGCTGCTGCTGCGGCGGCCGCTGCCGCTCTTGCCGCCGCCGAGGCAGCGCCCATCGACGGCGTTGAGGAGACGGACGACGAGCTGGACGATCTCGAGGAGGACATTGTGGTTACGCGCCTGTAATTTCAAGGTCGCTAGCCACACAACCCCCAAAACCCCTCCTCCACCTCCTCCTCCTACTATCCCCCTCCGCACACAGACACAGAGCCCCTCAACAATCGGTTATCGATAGACCGACAATCGAAGGGGCCAAAGAAATGAAGAAACTTTTGTGGTTGTAGTTTTCTAATAGAACATTTAACAAAAAAAAACAAAAAAAAAGACACAAAAAGACAAAAAAAAACCTCACATCCCGAAACAAAAATGAGAAAAAAAACCATTTAGCTCAAAAGACCAAGACGCACACACACACACCCAGCAGGTGTGTGTGCATGTGGGCGGACTTGGCTTACTTTTAGTCTGTAAATAAGAGTGGAGATCGAAAGAGAGTTCTTTTTTTAAAATAGAGCTGAAGAAAGTAAAGAAAAACCGCAAGAAAGCAAAAGAAATGCAAAATGTGTGTTAGTATAGGTGTAAGCACACACACACAAACACAAACACACTCACAGCACACACCTACACACTTAACACACACACACACACACTGCAGCAGTGTGCGTGTCTACGATGCCTAATAAATTGTTATTTTATTTTAAAATTTAATTCTTAACTTTAACTATAGACTATCCAACAACAAAAACAAAAAAATTTTCCCCACAATTTTCCAAGCTAATGTTGTTTTTTTTTGTTTTTTTTTTTTTTAAATAAAGAAAACGTGATAATCCAACACACACTGAGAAAAAAACAAATCACACTTTAAACAGTCAGAAAATAGTCAAATTTGTAAAAAAAAAAAAGACGGTCCTTAATGAAATATATATTTATATATATATATTTAGAAAAATAAAATATATATGTATATCAAAGATATGCGAAAAGTAAAAAACAAAACACAAAAAACGAAAAGCAATTAAACTATTACATAAATATATAAATATATATTTTTAAACACAAACAACACAACACACAAAAAAAAAAAGCAAAAAATCTAGTAGGCAAAATGTTATATACACATTTTTTGCTCAGTATTATGTTTTAAACTAAATTTAAGCGAGTTATTGTTTCCTGTTTATACATTTTTTTCATCGTAAATTACTTATTATTAATTACGATTTTTTTGATTTTGATTTTGATTTCGTTTGGATTTTGATTTCGATGTCGATATCGATGTCGGATGTCGATTCAGAGTTTGATTTTGATTTTTATTCTTCTTCTCTTCAACAAACTCCTGCGATGGCAATTAAGATTTAAAACTAAAAACAAAAAATCTACGAAAATATTACCATAAACAATGCATCCATAAAACGATAAACATATATACATACAAACAAAAATATATATATTTTGTTTCGTTTTATTTTGAATGTTTTACTTAAATATTAGTGGAAAAAGAAATACAATACAACAAAACAACAAAAAAATACACACAAAACAACAAACACACACATTGTTTTCCAAAAAAAACAACAAAACTATTTGAGAAAAAAAATTACAAATATTTTTTCTTTTTTTTTTTTGCTTAGTCTGTTAAGTAGTTCATTATATTATGTAAAATATATATATAAAATAAATAAATGAATATAAATCTTACATTGAAACTGGTCTTTTATTTGCCGGGAGAAGTAAAAATAAAAATACAATATTTTTGCTTACTGTACTAAAATATTTAAAGACAGAAAATGGCATTTTCTTATCGAAGAACACGTCAGCGAAGCGAATTGTCAGCTTTTTCCGCATAAATGAGTCTCTTGATTGATTCGAGACTATATGATACCTGGTACTTGTCGTTTTTCAGTTGAATATTAAAATTGAAAAATTATTGAAGAATTTTTGCAGTGTTTTGAATTTAACATTTTTATTAGTTAGGCCCCTTTTCTGCTTTCTCTTCTTTTAAAAACCTATAACTTCTATTATAAAGTTTTTATCTTTAAATAATTCTTTTTACTCTCGGTTCTATATTTGCCTTTCGAGCCGTACGATGTGCGGCAGAGTCCTTCGATCGATTGAGATAATAAAATATTAAGATTTAAGCCACCTTCCCAATAAAATAATCATATTGTAGGTTCTTTAAATATTTATTTTGTTAGAACTTTAACTATAACATTTTCTTTAAACTAAATAATAAACAAACTTTGCATTATTATATTATTACTATTTTATATATTTAATTTCTCTTTTAGGTTTAATTTCGTCTTTCGTAAACTCATTTTTTGGGAAATATTTAAATTTGTAATAAAAGGTATAACTAAGCCGAACGAATATCAAAATTTCAATTTAAATGTAAGTATATTTTTAAATATTTGAAATATATTTTAGCTATGAAATAAATATTTTATATTTATGATTTACTTAAAAAAAAACAATGGGACATGAACCAGAACTTCCTTGGATTTCAGACAATGTTTTTTAGACTAATTTTTGAACAATTTTAAAAATAACTTAGACTAGAGGAGGCCGGTCCTTCTCCGTCCCGGTCCTGCTCAGAGGACAATGGCGTCGCTGTCTTCCTGGTACTGCTTGTTCTTGCGCCGGCGACTGGACTTGATTTTGCTCAGGACGCTGTAGGCCTGCTGGATGTCGATGAAGCGCTGGTGAGCCTGCGCCCGGAGCGCCTCGTCCTTGACCTTGTCCGGATGGTACTCCTTGGAGAGACGTCGGTAGGCGGCGGTGATCTCTGCCTGGGAGGCCGTGGCGCTCACGCCCAGCACCTTGTACGAGTTCCGCTCGCCGTCCACGTCCATGCTCTCGAATACCTCCTTCCAGGTCTCGTACCAGCCGTGGTGCTGGGCGTAGAGGTAGGTGTCGTGGAGGGCCTGCTTGAGGTCGGTCCACCAGGCGGAGGCCAGGAAGTTGTGGATGGCCTCGTGGATGGGCACCTCGCCGCCCTCCTCGTCCGAAATGGTGCCGTTGAAGTACAGGAAGCTAGCCCAGAAGGCGCAGTAGATTAGCAAGGCGGCGGAGATCTTTAGGGTCCTCGATCCGGCGGAGGCCCTGGTGGGCGGAGTGCGGCGCCACTGCTTGGATAGCCCGTCAAAGGTCAGAGCGGAGACCAGGGCCGTGAGCAGCAGGGAGTAGGTCTCGTCGTAGATGAGGAACCGGGTCGGGTAGGTCACGTAGGCGGCCACGAGGCAGTGCCACCAGACGCCCTGCTCCCGCCCGATGTTGCCCACCAGCCAGACACCCAGGGACACGCCCAGAGGGATGGCCCAGTGCAGGAAGCTGAGGTCCCAGCCGCCCACCAGGATCTGGGGAATGGCCATCGAGACGACCTGCCCGAACAGATGCCCGACCATCACCTGGCCAACGAACCTCCGGGAGGCGTAGGGCGGCTTCGGATACGCCTGGAGCTTGGCCACGAACTCCTTGACGAAGCGCGGGTCCTCGTTGGCGTCCCTTACGTACTCCGGTATCAGGAAGATCTCGCCCAGCCAGCCCACGCCCGCGTAGCCCCCCAGCGTGCACCACCAGACGAAGGCGTGGCGATCGCGGTGCAAGTACAGGTGGTGCAGCCCGAAGACGCCACCAAAGAGCCAGCAGAGGTAGGCGATCCACACGGACTTCTGTGGCGGCAGGGCATTCACATTCTTATTCTTGCCGTTCCTCGGCTTGGGGCTGGACTGTTTCATCTTCGAGGGGGAGCTGCTTCGCGGGGGTGTCTGGTATTTCACGGCGCTCTGTCCGCCCGAGGGGGAGGCGGTCTGTTTGGTGCCCATTCTTCAGAATTCTGGAATATAATTGGAAAGAATTAATGTACACTTCCTTGGAATAGGTACTAAAAAATAGACGATCATAGAGGGCAAAGTAGTCAATCAAAGATGATAAGCCGGGAGATTAATTTCTGGGAAAAATCTGCCCCGATGGACAATGAATCAATGCACTATATATAGTACTTGTAGTACATATAGATAATCTACATTTAAGAAGATTTCTAGGAAGATTGTTGATTAAATTAAGTAACGTTTCCAAGTAGACCAATAGGATTTTAAATGTATTTCTTGGTATTTTTTTAAAGCTTAACTCTCTCAAAATTTAAGACCAATATTTAATTCTTTTTTTTTATTAATATTTTTAATATTTTATTTCACTTACAGGTAAGACACCGATGCCAAGTGACCTCAATTGGTTGTGAAATTAGTGGCTGCGCAGGCGCAGAGCGTTCCCGTTTTGGGCCACGACTGTCTCTTGTCAGAGAAAGAGAAAGAGACGGCGGCAGGCCAGGTAGAAAGAGGTAGAAAGGTGCGGCGACGCAGAACTTTCTCTTTTCACAAATTCTACTCACGCAGCGGAAGCACAAGAATAACAAACTGGAAACACACACAAAATCTACACAAACTACAACAGATGAGTATAATTTGTATTTCTTAAAAAAAAACATACACTTTACCTCCTTAGCTTTTTTTTTTTATAAATTTTTAATATAGTTATTATAAAAAAAAACGGTAAAAAAAATCAAAACAAAGTAGCAAGTGTGTTGTTAAGCCGAGCGATTAAAAAAAATGAATAAAGCCGAACTTGTTGCTTTCCTCGTAGTGTGACCATAGTCAGTGTGACCAGAAAAGCCGAGACTTAAAAACCAAATGATCTAAAAGCCAAAAAAAAAGCTAAATTTTTGAAAGCCTAGAAAATATTCCAATAAGAGAAAAGCTTATGAAAGTAAACACCTTGTTTAAAAAATGAAATATATTTTTTTTATTAGTTTTCTTTTGTTTTTTGTGCGTAATATGAATAATTTCATATTTTGCTTGACTTACACGTATAAAAAGTAATTTTTTCCACTCTGTTTAATAATTTGACACATTATTTGAGCTTAGCCTAGGGATTAAAGTAAAAAATAAAGGTTACAATTAAAATCAATTGGATTATCAACTAAATTGTTATGAGAAATTGTTAAGAGCAAGTGTGTTTGTAGTCTTGGAAGGATTTTCAATGCTTTGCTAAACTGAGAATCATACAAATTGTTAAGTTATGGCTATTTTTATGAAATCTAAACAAAAGTTAAAAAATTAACAATCCTTAGCCAACACACTTGCCAGGTTTTTGTTCCTTTTGCTTTTTTTTTACGTAATACTTGCCCCAAAAAGGGTTCTTTTTTAATAACTAGACGAGACACATGAAAAAAAAAATAGATGGGGATCAGTGGTCGGCACCCAATACATTGATATGATTTTAATGCATTAGTATTAGTAACGAACAGCAGAAAGTAGGCTGCGAACGTTCCTATGCCCCTGGAATAGGGCCCTGCCGACCACTGCTCTAGATACTAAGATAAGATACTAGGACCGGGACCCGCTCCGGACCAACGATGAGTGTAGCTGCCGATCTTAGTTGTTCTTCTTCTTGGGCTTCTTGGGGTTGCGGGAGCGCGACTTGGCCTTGCAGAGCGGACAGATGGGCGCGTTCCGGTGGATCTGCTGGTGGCATGACAGACACGACTTCATCGGCGGCGGCTGCTGGCGGAGATTTACGTTGAAGTCGGAGCGAAACGACGGATGGTGCCCGATGCCGATGGAGGGTGACTGCTGGAGGCGATTGCTCGGCGGTGGAGGCGGCGGCGGAGCCGAGAAGTCGCCCTTTCCCAGCCGGACAGCAGCCGCGGCAGCAGCAGCAGCAGCGGCAGCGGCACTGCCAGCACCCGGCGGCGCTGGTGGCATAAAGGCGTGACCAGGATTGGCTCCACCTCCTGCTGAACCGCCGCCCACAGATCCAGCTCCGCCGCCACCGGCCCCAGCTGCACCCCCACCAGCACCGCCTGTGTTGGGCAGTGTGGTGACCGTGGCTTCTGGCATCAACGGATGCCGGGCATGGGGACGAGCCAGCGATGTGGGTTGCGTCACCGAGGCGGCGGCTGCTGCGGCCGCTGCTGCTGCTGCCGCCTTGAGGAAGTTTGTCTGGAAGCGCTCCTTGGATATGGGACTGCCCTCCTCCTCGTGCAGATCGCGCAACGGACTCAGGCCCAGGTAGTCGCGGCGCATGTGATCGATCTGGTACTTGAGGGCCAGATACTCTTCGTACACCCGGTTGGCCATGTCGAAGGACCTGGTCTGGTTCTCCTTCGTCTGCTTGATAATGTTCTCCATGTCGTTGATGTCGGCGTGGATCTGGCGCAGCTCCTCCACGTGCGACATCTTCTCCTCTAGCAGGTGCTCCATCTCCTTGCGGTACTCCTCCAAGCACTTTTCCTCATCATCGCTCAGCTTCACCTCCTTAATGATCCTCACTTTAAGTTTCTCCAATGCCAGGGTCTTATCCCTGATGTCTTTGATGGCTTCCAGCTTGGCGTAGTAGTGGCGCTCGTTGGAGCTGGAAATCTCGCTGGTGGCCATTTTCTAAATCGCCCTGTGTGGGATGCTTTTGGTGTTTTTTTCAATGTTTTGCTGGCCCCCTCCCCTCGAAGAATGTTTGTTTTCCGTTTTCGGGATGTTTTCCCGGGTTTAGTTGATTCGTTCCAATATTTTTATAACAATCACCATTAGCGAATATAATTTCGCCTATTGTTTCCGTTTGGTAATCTACTTTTAATTTAGTTCTTTTCTGTTTATTTGATTTTTTCGCTGCTTTGTGTATAGTAGTTTGGTTTAGAGATGGGCTAAACTCGAAATCAGGTGCATTGGCAACACTAACAGAGCTTTGTCATCGATAACTAACATATCAGTATTTGTTTTGGTATTTTTTTCAAACACACATCACTATCATTTTCCCCCATCCCTAATACTATTGCCCATCTCTATCAGTTTCTCCCATCACTATTGCTCTTGCCCATCACTATCATTTTCACCCATCCCTAATACTATTGCCCATCTCTATCAGTTTCTCCCATCACTATTACTCTTGCCCATCACTATCATTTTCCCCCATCCCTAATACTATTTCCCATCTCTACCAGTTTCTCCCATCACTGTTACTCTTGTCCATCACTATCATTTTCCCCCACCACTATCATTTTCGCTCATCTCTACAGATCTTGTCCACCACTAGTGAATATCAGAACAACAAAGAATGGAATTGGCTTCGGATCGGCAGATAGTGAATATAACAACAATTCAGGTTGCAGCCACTGCTGCAGTGTGTAGTGTCATTTAAGTAATTGTTGATGTGCTGTGCGGACTCCTTCTTGCTGATCATTTTATCAGGCAAGACGGGGCGGGGCAATACAAACAATGCAAGTTAAGGTGTGTGTTTGTGCGATCGAGTGCCGAGAGGGGTAGTTGCAAGTGATTCATTCAGAAAATCATAAATAAATAAGAAAAGCGAGCTGCCGCAAAGCAAGTGTTTGCCAAAGTGTGTCAATCGAAAGAATTGAGTCAACAACAACAACAACAATGATCGGTTCCAAATCAGTGCAATATGTGTGAGAAATCTTAATTCAGACTTGACGATCATTCTCCCCCCTCTCCTCGCGCTAACTCGTTTTAACATTTTGTTTTCTTTTTTTTCGAGTTTTTTTTTTTGTTTTGTTTGGTGAACAAAAAGTATAAGAAAAAGCACGCATAATTGCATACGAAATTTATATTGGCTGGCGGCGAAGAAAAAGCGAAAGGTAAAAGTTTTTATATATACATTTGGGTTTTTATGACTTTGCACTACATTTTTATTAAAGCCATAACCACCACCCAGAAGAGGGTGAAAATGTTGGTTTAAGCGGGCGCCCCTATACTCTGTTGTGGCGATTTCGAAAAATGCGCTTTAATCAATATAAACGAATATATATATTCTATAAGATAGGTTCCATTATACCACATTTTTAAAATAGTTTGCTGCATTGATAACAGTCGACAGATAAGGCTATTAATCTATCAAAATAGATAGTAATTTTAATTGTTTTTTTGAGTTATATAAACTGAGAATTTTCGTTCGAAACAATTGAAAAAATAATTTAAATATTTTTATAAAATTTTCCCCTTCAAGATCTCTTAAAAGTGTTACCATTGTAATGTTCTTGTAAAAACACCACTATTGTGACCTTAGGTGTAACGTTTCGCTTATAACTGCTTATCGCTCCCATTTTTGCGAATCTGTATTGGTATTGGTAGTTAGTGTGTATGTCAAAAAGAGAGAGATCCGCTACAAATAGTGGCTACTCTTTTTAGCCAATAGAACAGTCAGTCAGTCACCTGTTGACACAAAAATGCCAACAGTGTCTCCCCCTCTTTGTTTGCCCTGCCTTTGGCTACCCAGACTTTTGGCACATTTTCTAGTTGTTGTTGTGGTTGTTGTTTGTATCAACTCATGGACTTCATGGGCTTCTTAATTGTTTAGCAATTAAACCAATTATAAACATATTAAGCTGGCCAAAAACCGACATCAATTTTCAGTTTTCCCTTTGACTTTCATGGCACAACTTTTTCAATAAATGATCAATAGAATACTTTTTTTGGAAGGGACTTGGAGAGACAGGTCACGATAATGGTAGTTTTCAGACAAAGACTTAATTGTTTTAAGTAGTTTTTCATTTTTCAATTTTATAATTTATAATTTTGAAGCTAAAAGCTACAAAGAAATATCCAAAATATCGAAATCTCTTCTATAATATTTGTAAATATTAGCGCGCTTTTAAATCCCCCTGGCCCTGGCAAAAAGCTGCCCCAACTGGCTTTGTTTGTTTGTCTTTTTCCACCTGGATCACCTGGTCATTACCCATTACAGTTACTGTTGGCCAGGTAATCAAGTGAGTCTACCCCCCATTCCTTAAGTTCTATTTCCATTTCTGCGCTGTCTGCGCAGGCGCGGCGACTGCTTTTTTGTTACCTACCTGTCTCTTCAAATACCTGTACCTGTCCCTGTACCTGTATGCATGTACCATACCTGTACAGGTGTACAGCGGTGTTCGTGTGTGATTTTTCAGTGTGTAAATCAAATCACAAATCGATGGCAACAACAACACGACACGACAAAAAATGCCGTCAAACAACTTGGAAATCGAGCTAAAATAGCCGCTTCTTCTGACCAGGCCCGGTGGCTTCCCCCTTTTTCAGACTTTTCTTATATAATTGGGGCCATGGAAGCGTTAAGTCGAGTGCTAAGCTATCTGTTCCCATTTCCTGCAGTCTTTTTCTATCTTTTTTTTTGCATGAATACGAGTCTCAGGAATATACGACTTGTATGCTGAACCGTTGGCTCAGCTTATTTTAACGCTTATCGCATTAAAAAACATAAATAAAAACAAAGCTCAACTCTGGCCCGTGATTCATGGTACATGCACTACATTGTACACTCGAGGCACTTGCGGTGGCGATAGTGGCTCTTCAGGGAGGTCTCTATTATATTTTTATTATTTATCCAAAGCTTGCAGAGTTTATGAAGTAGTTATTCAGGTTTTCAGATGTTTCTGGGCTTTCATTTCTATATTTTCTATATTTTTTTAAAGATACAAAGTAAAGAAATGGAATACAGAGCCACTGAATATATATTCTGGTTTTAAATAATTTGTAGACCTTTTCTAAAATAGTATGAAATTAGAATCTTAAGATTATATATGAAATATCTCGTATAATTCGATTTTTTACAAATTTCTCGATAATTATCGATAGAATTCTAAAATTCTAACCCCTGCTGTGAGTAGCCATGGAATAGGCACTTGCATTACTCTTGGTCCATGGAAAATGTGCTGTAATTAGTAAAAAATTAAAAAAAAATAAAAAAAAACTAACAAAGCAACAAAGAAGCCAAGTGATTCATTCGAATAAGCGACGAATAATAAAGAGATCCAATTGCAGATGCTCATGAGTGTCTCCCAGTGCCCATGAGTGGTGGATATTGACAAACAAATGTTCTACTCCAGCGGAAGTGTGCACAATTAGAGGCCATAATTGCTCGTTTTTTAGCCCAATTGGAGCAATGTGCCAAAAATAAACGAAATCCGAGAAGTTGATCCGGACATTGTGCTTATTTCTTGCAGTGTACTCGGCCAGGCTAATGAAAAATAAAACCCAAATCGTAACCGCAAACGTTTGCAGAAATACGAGAAGAAGCCACCCGGCTGGGCATTATCGGAGGGCGATAAGCCTTTCAAAAGCGTCCGGTACTTGGGCGGCCAAGTATCTATCTTTTCCCAGAGCCCAGACCCAGACCCAGCACCAGACCCCCGGAATCAATCACCATTCGGCTATAGCTGCAGTCCTTGTAAGCCCCCCAATTTCCATTAATGATCTATTGGGAAACCGAAACCCATTGCCCAGAATTGTCATTCTTATCGCCACAGTCTCTCTCGCTCTCTCTCTGTCCAGCCACTAAAAATACAAGCGATATCTGTCGTATATACTGGGTCTATATTATATAGACCTGTATACTATATAGCTACAGTGCGAATCGAAAGTATGCGAGTGAGTAGTATATGGAGGCGTAGGTGATCTCTTCAAGACTATCTGCGAAAATAGGTGAATGCCAGTGATAGAGTGGCGAGGGTTACAAAACAATTGATTCACCCGTCGGGTCTCGGGGCTCGGGTCTCGGGCCTCGGAAATTTTGATAGTCTGCTGTGAGGCTATGAGGAATTAATCATCGATTCGTGAAGCTCCCCAGCGCATAGCCCAGAAATTATAGTAGAATATCGGGTATATATCGCGTATATATTCAACGGGAAGCAGAACGCTCAGCGATGACTCATCCCAAGTTCATTCATCCAACTTGGGGAGGAGAAAGGAGGGCACTCCAGAAAGAGCACCCCACAATCCCCACACAATGGATGGCGGAATTTTATAAACAAATTCATTGAGTCTGGAGGGTCTAGAGGGTGTGGAGGGGGGAAATGGCAACTCCCATTTGGAGGCATTTGGAGAGGGAGCACTTAAATGGACAGGCCCCCCGCCCGGACCGGACAAGTTGAAAAGTTCAGGGAACTGCTAAACAATAGGAGGCCCATGGAGGAGCTCCTCCATCAGAGAGCCCATCGAGCTGATTGGAGTTCTCCAAACCGGCCAACTGGGCAGATCTCTGGCCGTCTTGGAAAGCGGAAAGTGAAAGCTTCGATTGGCGTGCAGGGAAATGCAAACACGTGTCTATAATTTCCTATATCTCGCGTTTATTTGGTTTTGATTTTGGCCGTCGGGGTAATGATCATCCCCCGGCCAGTCCCCCCCCGTCCCCCGGCTAATTTCCACTTAAATATGCAAACAAACTTAATTTTAAATCTAAATAAATGATGAGATAATTGCGACTAATTGGAAAAGTCCAGGCGGCGGCGGGCCAGCAGCAGTCGAATGCGCCGCCGCTGCTCCAGATCCTGCAGCTGCTGCTGGACGAGTATCCGGTGCAGTAGCTCCACCTTGGCGTGCTCCTGGGCCCGTTTCTCCAGTCGCTGCAGTTGCTCCTCGGCAAAGGACTCCATCGCCAGGGCTCTAGCTTCCTTCTTGGTGGGGTGGCTGGTTTCCTGGGGCTTCTCCTCGTTCCAGTAGAGTGCCAGTTGGAGGAACTGCATCAGCAGTTGCACCAAGTGGCTCCAGAAGATCTGGTAGTTCTTAGTCAGGTTCTGGGACATGTTTGCGGTTCGGGTTATGGTTGGCAAGTGTGAGGTAGGTTGTGGAATGAGGGGGGTTTTATACAAAAGAAAAAGGGTTACCTGCTTATCCCAAAAAGACCTGCAACCCTATTAGGTAGGGGTAACCCTATATACCTAACCCTAACCCCTTATTGGCTTAAATGAGGGGCTAAGTAGGTATTGACTCTTAAATCATAAAAGAATTTGGATTTTGGGGAAAATATTTAATATTTTAGATTTTAGGGATATACCCTGGAAACTCTGGAACTTCAACATGACTAGACATGCTGACTGGACATCCTTTTTTTGCGTAAAACTGAAACCACAAAGTAGGCTACTTATTGGAGCGATTTATTACAAAACTAGTTGACAGATTAGCTTTTCTATTCTTGCGCTGGTGGAGCCCCCTCTTCCTCTTCCTCCTCCTTGTCCTGGCTGGGCTGTGGCTCGTCCCGCTTGAAATCCTCGCCGTACATGTCCTGGTAGGCGCGTCTCAGGATTTTGGCGGCGCGGCGAGCGAAGGCACAGCGGCATATGGTCTCCGCCATGAGAGGTCGCACCTGCACAATGGCGTCCATGAGGGGCTTCAACCTGGCCTGGACCTCCTCGGATGTGCCCACGGCGCACACCACTCCGGTGACTATCAGGATGTCGGGCTTCTTCGGGGCCATGTCGCCCACATCGTGGCATATCTCAGCCAGATCGTCGCCCTCCCCGGGCAGCTTGGTGGTAATGTCCATGTTGAGGACCTCCTCGGGCAGGCCGAGGTAGTCGGAGCCAATCGCTCCCAGGCGCGGCTCGGCGGCGAACAGCTTCTCCATCGAGGGCATGTGCTCGGCGAACTCCAGAGGCTGGTCAGCACCCTCGACGAATCGAAAGTGTATCTGGCGGATGGTCACATCCTCGCAGTATTCGATGAGTTTCTTGAGCTCCTCTTGCTTGTTCATGATGGACGGCTACTTTAGGTCGCGAAGGATACTAGACTTTGAATTTAAAAGGTCTAAAAACCGGTGGGAATTTTGCAATTTGATATTTACAAACAAATATTCTATAAAAATTAGAAAATTTTAAACCTTTCGCTACGCTTTCCGGGCTGGGAATGAATTTTATTTCTGGGTTACAGGCTGAGGCCCGAAATTTCAATTCCAAGGCCTTCTAGGAGGCAATATTTTTTTTCAAAAGCTAGTAAGTACAATGGGCCAGATCAAGGGTACAGTGGGATAGATTTAAAAAAAAAATTATATATTTTTAGAGTTAGATTATGATAGAGTTCTGAATAGATTTTAGGATCATATCAAAGATAATGTATTTTTTAAAAGTATTCTTAATTTTAAATATATATATTTTTATTTAATTTCCAGTTCCTGCCATGGAGCAGGCTCGTCCCGTTCCCGCTCCTCGTCGCCTCTACCCGGAACTGAGGCCCGCCAACTACGAAAACATTGAGATCCGGCCCCCCAGCACCAACAACATCACCACAACCAACAACAACAACAACAGTAACAACAATAACCTCAAGAAACTGAACATCAATGCCGAGAATCTGCACGGGAACTGCTCGGAGAAGAAGCTGCCAGCTGGCGGACACAACAAGCTGATCCTCCAGGAGAGCAATGCCGTGGTGGACCTGCAGCAGCCGATCTACGGGCCAGATGCCAACGAGAATGTCCTGGAACCGGAGTATGCAGTGCCCCGGCCAGCACCGCGCCAACGACAGCCACCAGAACCGGAACCGGAAGCCGAGGAGGAGGTAGTGCCGCTGCGGGCGATGCGAGCGGCGCCACAAGTACCACCAAAGCCGCTGAACGTGCCAGCTGTGGATCAGCGGTTCTCCGTTTGCAGCGAAATGTCCACCACCAGCGCCGCCACCCAGGGCAAGGGGGGCGAGGATCGGGAGGACTCGCGGTATGCCTCGAACGCCTCACTGGACTGCAGCGAGAGCTCGCAGAGCGGCAAGTTCAAGTCGCAGTCACCCGGGTACGTAGACGGCGTAGATTCGCCATCGACCTCGCCATCGCCATTGCCGGATGATCCACAGACTCCGGAGGATGGGGAACCGGAGGATCGTCCAGATCATCCAACCGCCAGCCAGCCAGAGTCGTCGTCCGAAAAGTCCGCCAGCCACGATGGCCAAGATTCCCAAGAAGATGAGGAGGATGACAAGTAAACCTATTTCCACCTTTCCACCCAACCCCTTGGGTTATCCGTTTTTTGCACTTTTCCTCCCCCCCCCGCCCCTCCCCACACTCCCTCTTAACTTAATTTTTTTAATGGCATTTTTTAGGGCTTTTTTTTAAATGAAAAGTTGTGGCCCAAGGTTTTTTGCAAGATTTTTAATATTTTGCACAATTTTTTTAAAAGTAGAAACTAACTTAAAAATATTTAACTTTTTAACTAACAATTGGGGTTAACCCCAGAAGTACTCTCTATGGTTGCGGTCAAGGGTCAAGGCTCTTGAGAGGGTCTTCTCTTCCAACAACAAACAACATCTTTTTAATAATTTTAACTTTTAATTTTTAAAAACCCTTTAAATATTGTACCTCTAGACCAGAAGACCCCCTTAAGAAGCCTTTAAAAAACATCGTTTTTAGGTTAAATATTTGCCAAAAAAAACAAACATCATAAAATAATCATTTTTTGGCCAAAGAATTTGGTTAAAATATTATCTTTATAGGCGATAATATCTTATCGAAAGATTATCAGCCTGCTTAGGTCTTGTGTGCTTCCTGATAACATTTTCAAAATTTAAATGAAAGCCAAGAAGGTAAAGTTTCATAGAATCCTCCATTAAATCAGCTTCCTGAAAGGAATAGGAATCGTAATGCTTCCTTAATTTCCTTAAGGCTATTTTTGGAGAAAGAATGTCCCAAAATAGAAAGATCCCAGCGGAAGTATCTTCCTTTTGGGGGTTTGGCTTCAATTCCATTTAAGATCCATAAATCAACCAGCAGCTGTCGGAGCAGGAGCTGGGGAAGGTATTTAAACAGAATCTGCTCTGGAGAGTCTGTTCAAGATCAATGACAAGGAGCTGGACTAAAAATAGAACCCAGACTGCCTCTGAAGATCGTTCCTCGCACTTCCAATGGGTGTCTAAATGGTGGAGTTTGTGGTTTCTTTGGTTTTGGAAATTAAAGACAAGGGAATTAGGACCTAAGGAAAGGCTATAATATATGCTTGTTTTTGGCTTTTGGAACACTCTGTAGTCTAACCCTCTCCAGGACTTGGCTTTATGGATTTTTGTACTAACTTTAAACTCTATGAAATGGTTACTTTTAACTTTAAATAAAAAATAAATAAGAATTTATAATAATAAGAGCTCTTTTAGGAACCTGCTGCGAACCCTGGGCACCACCTCCAAGCTACTGGGCGAGGCCATCGGCGAGAGGATCACGTTCAAGGCCAAGGGAGCCAAGAAGCGGCTGGACAAGAACTTCAAGAGCTCCACGGAGGCGATCAGCAATCTCAGCGCCGACGCCAGCCGGAGTCTGAAGCACGCCGGCAAGCGGTTCGGCTCCAACTTCAGTCTGGGCAGGACCAAGGACAAGGCTGGATCACCCGAGGGCGGAGCAGCCGGAGGTGAAGACGAGCTGGACCGGCGGCAGACGATTGCCAACACGGAGGTATTCAGTACGATCCAGTTCTCCAGTCCCCTGAACCGGAACGGAGCTTTGCCCGATCTGCGGGAGCAGGCGAAGGACAAGGACCAGGATCCAGGTCAGGAAGAGTGCTATGAAGTGCCCAAGTCGCAGCAGGGCAAGCCGCCCAGCTACGATGAGGCGCTGAGGGCGCGTCCCTCGCCCAGTGCCTCGCCAATGGCCAGGAATCTCGCCCAGGAAGCGGCTCAACGAGTCCAGCTACGCGGCCACCATCCGAGGCAACAGCAGCCAGCCCAGAACACCAGCTCCTCCTCGTCGGGAAATGGAGACGAGTCCCCCAGATTGCCAATGCCAGCTTTTCCGCCACCCCGCCTCTCCCAGCAGTCGGAGCAGTTCCGCCTGGAAGCGGCATCCCTGCAGCCGCCAGTGAGGCAGAAGCGACGGAAAAATTACGAACACATAGAGCTGCGACGTCCTCCAGTGGACTCTGCCGAGCTGGAGCAACTGAATCGAGCCGCCGAGCTGGCGGAGCGTGAGGAGTCCCTGCTGTTATCCGCCAAAAATTTAGAGGCCGAGGCCAACGCCCCCAAACCGGATAGGAGTGATTCCTGGCAGTTCTACGGCGAAGAGGAGGACCAGGACTCGGACGAATCCTCGCCAGAACCGGTGTACGCCAATCAGGAGGCCACCTACGGCAAGCTCTTTGAAATGGCCACCGCCGGCAGCAGTCGCAGCAATCTCCTGACCCCCAACCCGGTCACCGACCAGCTCGCCTGCATCAGCGAGGACTCGGAACTGGGCAGCGAGTCCTTGGAGGGGGCTGTTGGCGGGGCACCGTTGCCCCAGGACCTCATACTGGAGTTCGACCCCCTGCATAGCAAATGCTCCACTCTGTCGCGCTCCAACAAAAGCAATGAGCTTTTGCTGCTGGAGCATCTGCTGGAGGAGGATACCTACGGAACCATCAAACGGGAACAGGACGACGTTAGCATGTGCACCTCCGAGGAGGAGGCCACCGCCTGCAAGAGCCCTCCGAGCCAAAAACAACCACAGATCGTCCACCAGAACGCCCATCTGTTGAGCGATAGTATGGAGAACATGCTGGACTCCGATCAGGAGAGGATGCGGGACGAGGAGAGGGTCAAACCATACCTGAGCAAGGTCCCGGAATCCACCAGCAAGGGAAACGTAGTCGTTGACCTGGCCAGCTCCTCCAGAAACCGCACCAATTGGTTTGTGGCTGAGAACTCCGCCACCGGCAGCTCCACCAGTTCCAGCACCGCCGCTGCCACTGGAAAGTCCTCGAGCAACATTGAGGGCGATAGTCCACCCACTTATCTAGAAGCCATTGGCGGCAGCTCTAAGGAGTCCAGCAAAGATTCAGAGAGCCGAAATACGATCGGCTCGCGGTTCAGGCAAACCATAAATGCCTTTTCGAATGTCAAGCTTAAGATGGACGCAATGAAACGGAAGGCCAGTTTCCGGAATCAGCGACAATCCGATCTAAAGGTAGCCCTCCAGATGGTACCACGACCCAGCTTGTCGCCGCTCCTGGTGCGCTACGAGGGTCCATTGGTGCGCTTTCCCACCGGCGTGGTGGAGGACATTCTTAAGGAGATGCAAAACCGCAAGGCCATACTGCGGGAGCGGCAATTCCAAACCTTCCTGGACCAGGAGATGAAAACGCCCAGGGAGGTGATACCTCTAGAATCTATCACTACTTTGCAGTGTGTCAGCAATAGCCGGGTCACCGATACAGCCACCCATTTCTATTGTTTCGAAATCACGACATCGCAGCCCAAAAATGGCAATGGAGCCGGCGATGTAATGTCCTCGAATCCGAATCTTCTGATGACCAGCAACTCGACGGGCAACGTCAAGCAGCAAAGAGTCTCCCATCTATATGGTGTAGGCAAGGAGTCTGAACGGGGCGTTTGGATGCAGAAGATTCTGGAAAGTCTCACCAATAGCCTGCCGGTGAAGTATACCTGCCATTATTATCGCGCCGGATGGTGTTACCTCAAGGTAAGTAACCCGACTCTTAAAATCAACCAGTAAGGTTATTTTTTGGTCAATATCTTTATTAGAACTCGATCACCTCTGAATGGAGCGGCACCTGGTTGGTACTTCGCAAGAGCCAGCGTCGTCTGATCTTCGTCAGTGAGTCCAATGGAAACGTCGAAAAAATGGATCTACGCAAAGCCCGATGTATAGGTAAGAAGTCCTCATTGTAATATGTCGCACTTGTTTCATTTAAATCAAAATTCATGGCGGGCAACCGCCCATGCCATTTTCCAACACACCCATTACCAGCCTTAATTTATCGATATATTATCGATCGTTAGTTTGCTTTTGCGCTGAACAGCACAAAATTTTGCACTCAACAGCACACTTTTATGCGCTTTACAGCTCGCACGGCACATAATTGCGCTTAACAGCGCACAGAATTTCCATTAACAGTACGCGTTGTTGCGCTCTACAGCTCGGATTTTTGGGTAAACATGAAGATCGCCGAATTGGCCTTAAGTCGTTTTGAAATCAGCGCTCCAATGTCCATTTTTCACCGTTTTTTTCGAAAACAGCGCCACAGTTTCAAAAATGTACAACAATTATCTTTGCAGTCCTCAAGGAAAGCGACGAATCCATCGACAACCTACACGTGGAAAGCGGACCTATGCTAATGATCGATTGCCCGCCGTACTCTGTGTACATGATTATGAGCTCGGCCCGAGAGACCAAGATCTGGCGACACATTATCCGCGAGGTAGCCCACAACAATGGCTTTTCTCTGGGAGATCAACAGCTTACCCGCTACGATGTGCCCGTGATCGTGGATAAATGTATAAATTTTGTTTACATACATGGCTCCATGTCGGAGGGTATATACCGCAAATCCGGTTCGGAGAACTCCATGCATAAGCTGATGAGCGCCTTCCGCGCGGATGCGTTCAATGTGGAGATAACCAGGAACGAGTACAACGAGCACGATGTGGCCAATGTGCTAAAGCGGTTTATGCGCGATCTGCCAGAGCGGTTGCTGGGCAAGCTAACTGATAGTTTTGTCTTTGTCACAGAACTGGCCGTGGCTGCAGAAAAGATTCCCATTTACCGTGAGCTGCTGGCCAGACTTTCGGCCATCGAAAGGGAAACGCTGCGTCGAATTGTCAACCATTTGGTGTTCATCAGCTCGCAACAGTCCAAGAACAAGATGAGTGTTCAGAACCTGACCATGATCTGGGGTCCCACATTGTTGGCCAAAAAGGTTAGTTACATATAGTCTATCTCTATACTCTATCCCTTACATCCTTCACTAAATAATTATTATTTAACATATTTGAAGAGCGACGAACTGATTTATTCGCAAAAGGAGGCGGATGTCCTCAGCGACCTCATACTGCTCTACAAAAATCTATTTCCCTGCAGTGCGGAAGAAATGGTTAGTAAAATAATTCCAAATCGATCTATTATGTAACCTTTATTTTATTTTGCAGAAACGCGAGCAGGCCATGCTGGCATGCCTGCAAAAGTATTACGCCGCCGCCGAGACACTCAAGGATGCAGTGAAGCAGTCGGGTGACATTAAAATCTGGATCAGCCTGAATCCCAACCCGGATAATACCACAGAAGTATTGTTTATACTTACCCCCTTAGTTTATATATTGATCCTTTGATTGTTTAGGAAAAAACCCAGGTGAATGCCACCATTTCGCCCACCAAAACCGCCTACGAGCTGTGCCGTGAATATTCCGCGAAAATGAAATTGCCGACCCACCAGCTTACCCTGTACGAGGTGATTCTCAACGACAGCCTGGAACGCCCCCTGCATCACGACACCAAAGTGTTCGACGTGATCCTGAATTGGTCCTATTGGCCAGAGGAAGATCGCAAGCACAACTACCTGATGGTGCGTCCGGTGGAGATGCTGCGGGAGATCCAACGTGCCGTCAAGAATATGTCCACCGTGACACCTGGCAAGGAGCTGCGATTCGCCGACTCCAGAACTAAGACTTTCAAGAACCTGCAATGCGAGCTGAGAGATGGCAAGATTGTGGTTTCGAAAAAGGATAAGAACGACAAAACCACCATTGTGAGGGAGATCTTCCTGCAAAGCAGCACGGCGTACTTGGGATGCGAGCGGAAAAGGGACTTTCCGTGGAGCTGGGCCATCACCTTTGTGGAGCGCACGCAAGCGCAGATTATGAGGTAACAACTGAAATCTGCCTAATTTTTGAACATTAATATAGTATCCATTATCTCTGTTGCAGATCTCGCGATGCACCCTTCATCGGACATGTCCTGGCTGGCAGCGAGTGGGTGGATCGGACCATCTGGTACTCGAGTATCTGGTACTGCCTCTACGGGGACAACATCCTGCCACCAGCCGAGATCATCATCAAATAGGAACGCAATTCTTAAGCTTTCGTGTAGATATCCCAGAATTTATATGCAATAATTAGTTGTAACACCTACGTTTCTATGCAATATGCCAATTATGTTAAGCTTGTTTTTTTTCCCGCATGTTCTGTATATATATGACATTTATTCATTTGACAATCCAAATTGTAAATACTTAAGTCTACTCTTATGCCATTTGTCTTCAATCTAGCTAGTTAGCTGATTTCTATTTAGACACGGCCGCAGTGCATCAAATTAGCGATAAGTTAACCTTTTCGGAATACCTTTAATGTAATTCTTAAACGCGATTATTGGGTTTGCATTTATGTACGTGCATATGTATATTTTATAGTTTAAGCCATTTTATATAATTCTTATACACTCCAGAGTTGAGAATATGTATGTAATGGTGATAAATAAAATGTATTCAAAGTGTATGTTTCTTGACTGTGGGGGTTTGTTGGTGGTATGGGGGAAAAGGGGTATTTTTGAGGGCATCGTACGCATTTTTCCGTCTGGTCCATTTCTGGTCCGATCTGGCAACGCTTGGCATTTTCGGAATCAGCGCCCCAAAGTCTATCGAATTGCATACCAATTTTGTCAAAATCAGACAAAAAATTTTTCCGCGAAAATTGGAAAAAATCGTGATGTATAGCCTTTCCATTTTTGCGAAAAATCGGTCGAAAATGAGTTGTTCGATATCGAAAAACGTGGTATGCAGTTCGGTGGACATTCGAGCGCTGATTCCGAAAATGTACGGCGTTGCCAGATCGGACCAAAAATGGGCTTTCTAGAGCCCATATCTCGGCCGTTTGTGGTCCGATCTGGCAACGCTTGGCATTTTCGGAATCAGCGCCCCAAAGTCTATCGAATTGCATACCAATTTTGTCAAAATCAGACAAAAAATTTTTCCGCGAAAATTGGAAAAAATCGTGATGTATAGCCTTTCCATTTTTGCGAAAAATCGGTCGAAAATGAGTTGTTCGATATCGAAAAACGTGGTATGCAGTTCGATGGACAATCGAACGCTGATTCCGAAAATGTCAAGCGTTGCCAGATCAGACCACAAATGGCCGAGATATGGGCTCTAGAGTCTTTATTTCTGGCCCGATCTGGCAACGCCGTACATTTTCGGAATCAGCGTCCCAAAGTCTATCGAAATGCATACCAATTTTGTCGAAATCGAACAAAAAATTTTCCCGCGAAAATCGAAAAAAATCATGATGTATAGTCTTTCCATTTTTTCGAAAAAACGGTCGAAAATGAGTTGTTCGATATCGAAAAACGTGGTATGCAGTTCGGTGGACATTCGAGCGCTGATTCCGAAAATGTACGGCGTTGCCAGATCGGACCAAAAATGGGCTTTCTAGAGCCCATATCTCGGCCGTTTGTGGTCCGATCTGGCAACGCTTGGCATTTTCGGAATCAGCGCCCCAAAGTCTATCGAATTGCATACCAATTTTGTCAAAATCAGACAAAAAATTTTTCCGCGAAAATTGGAAAAAATCGTGATGTATAGCCTTTCCATTTTTTCGAAAAAACGGTCGAAAATGAGTTGTTCGATATCGAAAAACGTGGTATGCAGTTCGATGGACAATCGAACGCTGATTCCGAAAATGTCAAGCGTTGCCAGATCGAGCCAGAAATGGGGTTTCTAGAGCCCATATCTCGGCCGTTTGTGGTCCGATCTGGCAACGCTTGGCATTTTCGGAATCAGCGCCCCAAAGTCTATCGAATTGCATACCAATTTTGTCAAAATCAGACAAAAAATTTTTCCGCGAAAATTGGAAAAAATCGTGATGTATAGCCTTTCCATTTTTGCGAAAAATCGGTCGAAAATGAGTTGTTCGATATCGAAAAACGTGGTATGCAGTTCGGTGGACATTCGAGCGCTGATTCCGAAAATGACAAGCGTTGCCAGATCGAGCCAGAAATGGGGTTTCTAGAGCCCATATCTCGGCCGTTTGTGGTCCGATCTGGCAACGCTTGGCATTTTCGGAATCAGCGCCCCAAAGTCTATCGAATTGCATACCAATTTTGTCAAAATCAGACAAAAAATTTTTCCGCGAAAATTGGAAAAAATCGTGATGTATAGCCTTTCCATTTTTGCGAAAAATCGGTCGAAAATGAGTTGTTCGATATCGAAAAACGTGGTATGCAGTTCGGTGGACATTCGAGCGCTGATTCCGAAAATGACAAGCGTTGCCAGATCGAGCCAGAAATGGGGTTTCTAGAGCCCATATCTCGGCCGTTTGTGGTCCGATCTGGCAACGCTTGGCATTTTCGGAATCAGCGCCCCAAAGTCTATCGAATTGCATACCAATTTTGTCAAAATCAGACAAAAAAATTTTCGGCGAAAATCGGAAAAAATCGTGATGTATAGCCTTTCCATTTTTGCGAAAAATCGGTCGAAAATGAGTTGTTCGATATCGAAAAACGTGGTATGCAGTTCGATGGACAATCGAACGCTGATTCCGAAAATGTCAAGCGTTGCCAGATCAGACCACAAATGGCCGAGATATGGGCTCTAGAGTCTTTATTTCTGGCCCGATCTGGCAACGCCGTACATTTTCGGAATCAGCGTCCCAAAGTCTATCGAAATGCATACCAATTTTGTCGAAATCGAACAAAAAATTTTCCCGCGAAAATCGAAAAAAATCATGATGTATAGCCTTTCCATTTTTTCGAAAAAACGGTCGAAAATGAGTTGTTCGATATCGAAAAACGTGGTATGCAGTTCGGTGGACATTCGAGCGCTGATTCCGAAAATGACAAGCGTTGCCAGATCGAGCCAGAAATGGGGTTTCTAGAGCCCATATCTCGGCCGTTTGTGGTCCGATCTGGCAACGCTTGGCATTTTCGGAATCAGCGCCCCAAAGTCTATCGAATTGCATACCAATTTTGTCAAAATCAGACAAAAAATTTTTCCGCGAAAATTGGAAAAAATCGTGATGTATAGCCTTTCCATTTTTGCGAAAAATCGGTCGAAAATGAGTTGTTCGATATCGAAAAACGTGGTATGCAGTTCGATGGACAATCGAGTGCTGATTCCGAAAATGCCAAGCGTTGCCAGATAAGACCCCAAATGGCCGAGATATGGGCTCTAGAATCTTTATTTCTGGCCCGATCTGGCAACGCCGTACACTTTCGGAATCAGCGCTCGAATGTCCACCGAACTGCATACCACGTTTTTCGATATCGAACAACTCATTTTCGACCGTTTCGATATTATTACAACGCAATATCGATAGTCAATCCGATTCCATTTTGCGCACTATAGCACAGCTGATGTGCTGCAAAGCGCACTATCGCCCACTTGATGTGCTGTAAAGCGCACTATCGCACGTTTATGTGCTGTAAGCGCAAGTTTATGTGCTGTAAGCGCACGTTTATGTGCTGTAAGCGCACTATCGATAGTAAGTTACAACAAGTTTTCAGCAAAAATCGAAAAATCCGATTTTTTATACGGTTTTCCTATTTTCCAAAATTTTCTTGAGTTTTCCAGCATTTTCCAGAATTTTTCTGAATTTTTTAATTTTTCAGAATGACTTGCACTTTTTTGCGGCTTCGAAAAAGTGGATTTCGGCCCGCTACCAGGCTCGAAGTACCAGGCGAACAGAAACGTGCAGTAGGTGGATTCTTATTTTTCAAACTGTTTTTTGTGAATAACTCAGCCATTTGGCATCCAATCGTGGATTTTGATGGCTCAAAAAAAGTGGAAAAATACGGTCCATCTACCTGGCTACCTAAGCCTGGTATTGGCCAAGTTAACACGGAGTGGCTAATAAATTTATTTGAAATATTTATTTTTTAAAGTTCATTTGGTTATATCTCGGTCATTTTTCAACCGATCGGGAAGAAAAGTATTATTCCTGGATCAGGACCTTAATGTCCTTCGAATTGCATCAAAGGATCCTTTAAATATCCTGATCTACATCGTAAATGGTGATACCGATCCATTTCTAAAGTATGACTGTCGCTCGACATTTTGCTGTTGGATTTCGAAAATATTTTGATGCAGATCGAAGGATATTCATGTCCTGATTCCAAAAATATATTTTATTCTAAGATCGGTTGGAAAAGTGCCGAGATATAAACAAACCAATTTATAAAAAAATATTTCTAAGCCCAATTTTCTTACCACTCTGTGTTAACTTGGCCAATACCAGATTTTGTTAGCCGGGTAGATGGGCCGTATTTTTATGCATTTTATGACATACAACAATCCCGGATTAGTGGCCAAATGGCCGAGTTATTCACAAAAAACACTTTCGAAAAATAGAATTCACCTACAATGCGTTTCTGTTCGCCTGGTACTCCGAGCCTGGTAGTGGCCTGAAACTTAAAAAATTTCAGCCTCGAAAATCTGTGACGTCACGGGCAGAGCTTTTATCCACTGGGTTGTGTCTTGGCTGAACAGGTTCGTGTCTTTGGTGGAATGTGGATTCTATGTGGGACCTGTGTGGATCCTATGTGGGTCTTGTGTAGAACCTATGTGGGTCATGTGTGGATCCTATGTGGAACTTGTGTGGATTGTAAGTTGATCGAAGACCGTTAAATTCAAATTCAAATTCAAAAAAGTTCCCGCCCGCGCTCATTAAGCTTTTCTAAAAGTTCCAAGTTCAATCCGTGACGTCACAGATTTCAGAGGCTGAAATTTTTGAAATTCCCGGCCGCTACCAGGCTGAAGTACCAGGCGAACAGAAACGTGTAGTAGGTGGATTCCATTTTTTGAAACTGTTTTTTGTGAATAACTCCGCCATTTGACATCTAAGCCCAGATTGTGGTATGTCAAAAAATGCAGAAAAATACGGCTCATCTACCTGGCTAACAAAATACGGTATTAGCCAAGTTAACACGGAGTGGGAAAGAAATTTGGCTTAGAAATATTTTTTTATAAATTGGTTTGTTTATATCTCGGCACTTTTTCAACCGATTTTAAAATGGAATATAATTTTGGAATCAGGACATGAACATCCTTCGATCTGCATCCAAGGATCGTCAGAATCCAACAACAAAATGTCGAGCGGGAGTCATATTTTAGAAAAGGATCAGCATCGCCATTTGTGATGAACATCAGGATTTCATGAGGATCCTTTGATGCAGTTCGATGGAGATTAAAGTCCTGATCCAGGAATTGTACTTTGCTTCCCGATCGGTTGGAAAATGACGGAGATATAAACTAAAGAACATTTAAAAATAAATATTAAAGTCAAATTTGTTAACCACTCCGTGCTAACTTGGCCAATACCAGACTTTGTTAGCCAGGTAGATGGGCCGTATTTTTCTGCATTTTATGACATACAACAATCCGGGATTAGTGGCCAAATGGCCGAGTTATTCACAAAAAACCATTTCAAAAAATGGAATCCACCTACTATGCGTTTCTGTTCGCCTGGTACTTCAGCCTGGTAGCGGCCGGGAATTTTAAAAATTTCAGCCTCTGAAAGTCCGTGACGTCACGGGATGAGCTTGGATCCACTGGGTGGTGTCTTGGCTGAATAGGTTTGTGTCTTTGGTGGTTTGTGGAACCTATGTGAAACCAGAATCTACCTACTATGCGTTTCTGTGCGCCTGGTACTTCGGGCCTGGTGGCGGGCCCGAAATTCACTTTTTCGGAGGCGAAAAAAAGTGCAAGTCATTCTGAAAAATTTTAAAATTCAGAAAAATGTTGGAAAATGTTGGAAAACTCAAGAAAATTTGGAAAAATTCGGAAAAAATGGGAAAAATTCACAAAAATAGCGGAAAACTCCAAAAAATTTGGGAAAATTTCGAAAAATTCAAAAAATTGGGAATAAATTTGGTAAATACTCGGAAAAATCGGGGAAATTCCGGAAAATTATTTAAAAAATTTGAAAAATTCAGGAAAACTTTAAGAAAAATCTGAAAAAAAACGAGGAAAAATTTGGAAAAACTCATAAAAACCTTCGGAAAATCGCAAAAATTCGGAAAATTGAGGTAAGTTTATAAAAATTAAAGAAATTATCAGAGAAAAAAACAATTGAAATAGTGACGTCCCACCGCATCCTTGTGGAAATCCTTCCTCCAGGATTCCGCGTGCCCCGGCGCCCTTTCCCTCCCCTCCCCCATCCCAACCAGACAATAAAACACAGGTGTCTTGATATCACTAAAATGTTTGCAAACTTTGCATTTTATTTTCGTTTTTTTTTTCCATTTTTTTGTTTGCTGTTTTGCGTGTCCTGTTCGAGAAAATGGTATTTTTTGTTGCTGTCGCTTAGCTTTTGCATTTCAACTTCACATACATAGTCGCTTTGTTGTTGTTGTACAATTACATAAAAAGAAATATGCGTGTATGTTATCTATAGTATATGTATATACGCCCGTAATTATGTGTACATATAGTCGTATATATGTATATATATATGCGTATATATGTATGTATGTGGGTGTTAAGTATATTGATCAAGTAAACATGAGTTCCACATTTGATGTTTTGTTTTTTTGTTATCCTTTATGTTTTTTTTTTTGACTAAGTTTAGTGGTGCTACCCTCCATCTAGTTCTCGTACTCCGTCTCCTTGTCTCCTTGTCCTTATCATTCTCCATCCATTTCTCCATCTTCGTCGTAGTCGTAGGCGGCGGCAGGGGGGTTGGATACTGGATACTGGATGCTGGGGGTTGGGTGCAGACTACAAATATCCTTATATCCTTCTCTACCTTCTCTTGGCGCTAACAAATTTTGGACCGATAATAAAAATACATACACAAGTATCTGCATCGGTTTCCCATTATTTCTTCTTACATTTTTCATAAATTGTTTTTTGTTTTTTAGTTTCCTTCTTTTTTTATACACTAACTAAATATACAAATCAACAAACTTCGAAAAAATACCCTTCAAAGGGCCTTATAACCGTCATCGTCATCGGGGGACTCAAAGAATTCTATATACATTACATAGAGAGAGATAGCGATAGTGGTACAGAAAGAGAGAGCAGCAAACGGGACTCTTTTCCTCAAAATTTGAACTCAGGATTCAGGGTTCGTAAGATAACACACTCTTAACAAAAGATATTACTTCTAAATATATACTTTTAGCTTTTACTTTTAGGTTTTTTTTGTTTTGTAAGAAACTAAAGGTCAACACACACCCACACTGTATCTAAAGTAAGGTCTTGAAGGGGCTAAGGTCGAGTCCTAACTCAGAGTCGAGTATGCAAAGAAAATAACCACCAAGGCCTATACTATATAGTACAGTGTGTAGCTCTCAAGGTCTGCATGTTATTTACAAATGTTTCACATTACGAACCCTGATCCGACCTCAGCTCTGGGGTCAGCTTCCTTGTCCCTGTCTTCTGCCTAGTCGTCGTCATATCGTATATATAGCATAGGTATTATAGTATGTGTATATATTTAATATATATAACTAGAGGAGGGCACGCTGGCCGCTCAAACTATCAACAAGTTCTCTAATGTTAGCTCACATAAAAAAAAAATTACCATAATAATAAGTAAGTTTTAATCAATTAATAATAAGAAAACGCAAGATAATTATACATCGCTTTTTGGCTGCCGGACAGGTGCTTGCTCGGGGACGTGGCTTGGGTGCTGGGTGCTCGGATGGAGGATGGGAATGGGGATGGGGATGGGTGGGGGCGCATCTCTGGAGCGGAAATTCGATTGTGGATGATTTTTTCTTTTTAAACGGATAAGTAGTAAAATGCTTAGACGTATAAATAGGCTCTCTCCTAACGTTAGTATGTAATAATCACATTGACTGCCCTCCTCCTCGTCGTCCAGTTCTCTTCTCCATCCTCGTACACTCGTCCATTCACCGTTCAGTTGCTCCACAGCGCTCCAGCCCTGTGACTACATGTGATGCCACTGCGTCACCGCCACATTGGTGTTGTCGTTCAGCCGCGCGATCTCCTCGTGCAGCCCATGGCCCAGCCACTGCATAAATATCCGGCCGTACGCCGCCTGGCACAGCCGCAGCGGATTGCCCCGCCTCAGGCCCTGGTCCGTCTCGCCGTACTCGTCCAGGTAGGGCGGCTGCACGAAGCATCCCTTGCCCCGGCCCAGATACACCACCTGGCAGTCGCGGATGCGCAGGAAGATGCCCACCTCGGCGCCGCAGTCGTGAGCGTGGTGGGTGCACGCGCCCACCGACATCTTGCCCAGCTCCGGCTGGCAGCAGTACGACTGGCCGCACAGGATGGCGCCGCAGATCAGACACATGGTCGGCGTCTTCATCTCCTCGCGCTCGTTGTTCGGACAGAAGATGTCCGACACGCTGTTGATCAGGTCGGAGTAGTCGTCGAAGAGGGTCTTCAGGCGCGGCAGGGGGCGCAGGCAGGGCACCACCTCGATGGTCTGCCTGCCGCTGTCCAGCTGGCGCAGTATGTCCCGGTGCGAGGCGAACGAGTGCATCATGGTGGCGTACACCGTCTCCATGTCAAAGTAGACGCCCAGATTGGGGTCCAGGCCCAAGTACGTGCACATCAGGTCGAAGCGGTCCGGCTGGTCCGTCGGGAACGTGTCCGGGAAGTCGATGTCGGTCAGGCAGCGATAGAAGAGACAGGCGCACCGCAGGAAGGAGCCCATCTGCCGCTGCACGTAGCCCAGCATCAGGGCCAGGGTGTAGAAGTCGCAGGGTATCACTGCCGTTGGCTGGTGCTCCTGCTCCTCGTTGTCCTGGTCCATTTTGCGCTGCTTGGCCAGCTGCTTCTTCCTCGCCGCCATGTTGTAGCGCCGATAGAAGGCCACCATGTTCTCCTGGATCTTGGCCGGCAGCTGCTCCACGTACGGCAGCAGTTCCAGCTCCTCGTCCACCATTCTCTTGGCCTGCTCGACGTCTGCGTCGAAACAGATCACCGCCTTGGTCACGTTGGCCAGGAACATGGTCTGCAGAATGTAGTAGTCGAACATGTTGCCGCTGGGTATGATGGCGTGGACATCGGACGCCGGAAAGTGGCTGGTGAATACTGGAACGGGAGGAATAGTTGGTTCTATCATATAAGAAGTTAGGAGTTAATCCAGCCATCCTGGATCCTTCTCAAGGATAATGCTTCATGCACAGCATACTCACCGTTCTCGCATCCCATCAGGTGAAGGACTCCGAACTGGAACTGGACCAGCATACGGAAGCAGTCCCACTCCAGGACACTGGCTCCCTTCTGGCAGAAGATCGTGTCGAGCAGCTTCGAGGCCAGCTCCGGATGTGGCTTCACCATGGGGGCGATGGCCGGTACCAGGCTGGTATTGCCCAGTTCCGGGCTCTGGTCCATCAAGCTGCTGGCGGCCGAGGAGAGAGAGCAGGCGCGCACCAAGTTGGTGGCACAACACTGGTGGCGCATCGGCAACTCGGCCTTGAGCGGCTTCTGGTTGGCGAACAGATAGATCTCGAGGGCCTGCAGGGTGTAGCTGCAGGTGTCCCACAGCTGGGCGGCCGATTCGGCCTCGTCGATGCCCGGCGGGGTGGCGGCGCCGGGGAGCTCCTTCTGGTGCTGCAGCTGGCTGGTCATGGCGTTGCCCATGGCCTTGTAGAAGCCGCCCATCACGTCGAACCAGTGGTGGTGCAGCCGCGGCGGATCCTGGACCAGCTGGACGCTGCGCTCGAACTGGGCCCTGTCGGCGCCGCCGAGATTCGCTTTGCGCAGGATGTTGGCCATGCTGGTGCGCTGCTTGAGGTCGTCCAAGCCGTAGTTGCCCAGCTCGGCGGCCAGGGTGCGCATGATCTCGATGAAGCTGTCCAGCGGCAGGTAGCCGCCCTCCTGCTGGCCACTGGCGTTGGCCGCGGACTGGGTGAAGGCCGGGAGGGCCTCGCTGACCGGCAGGACCGTGTTGCTGAGGGTCCGGCAGTAGGGACAGTGGAACTCCACGTTGTGGGCGGCGTTCAGGGCGATGCGGTTGCGGTGCGGACGCCGCTGCTCCTTCGTCTCCTCGTTGCTGTAGTACTCCTGCCAGCAGCTGTAGTGCATCACGTGGCCGCAGCAGCTGACGTGGAGGGCGCAGCGGCCCTGGTGCTGGTTCGGGGCGGTGAGGATCACCCGCGAGGTCTGAATGAAGGCGGAGCTCACCAGCGGCGGCCCCGGACGACTGATGGCACAGGTTTCGAAGCACAGGATGCACTTGAAGTCGGGCTCGGTGTGCTGGTAGGTGCGCCGCTCCGGCCCCAGACAGGAAACAACGTTCGGCTTGAGGGCCACGGCGCCCTGCTCCTCCTCGGCGGCGGGGATGTCCTCCCACTCCATGGTGCCGGATCCCGAATCGGCGAACATCTCGGCGTTGCTGTTCATGAACGATTTCTGGGCGTTCTGGATCTGGGCCATCACCTTGGCCCGACGCTCGGCCGCCAGACGGGCGCGGTCCTCCTTCTCGCGGCGCAGCTGCTCCTCGGAGCTCTGCGGCTCGTCGCTGGCCAGGGTCTGCTGGGACCCGGACGGACCGGCTCCGGAGCAGCTGGGCGTCTGCTTGGCCTGCAGCTCCTTGTACCGCTTGATTGTCCACAGTATGAAGTCATGATGGGCTCCCAACTGAGAATGAGATTCGCCATTAGGCCCGGAAGACAGGAGAGTCTAGGGGAAAGCTTACCGTGGGGCAGCGTGCCAGCTCGTCCAGTTTCTTGAGGATTCCGTACTGCTGGGAGCGTTCGTAGAAGCTGAGGAAGGGATAGTGCTCGCTCAGCTCCTCCTGGATGGCAAAGCCCAAGAGATGCAAGATCTGCAAGGAAAAGACATGATGGGCTTTGGACTGGAATGGGATCTTCCTTTGGAGACTCACCTTTTGCAAGTGGGATTCGGTGAAGGTGCGATTCTCTTCGAGGGCACGGTCCATCGTCAGGGTACAGATGTTGAGGAACACGTTGCACTGCAGGATGTTGGCCATGGACCTGGAAGAGAGAAGAGGATGAGTATGTCGGCCATGTAGACAGATGCAGAATGGTGGAGAATCGATCCACAAATCGATTAAGGTACTCCGCTTGAGAATCGGATGAGAATTGGGGAAGATATAGACATCCCTGTGGGCCCTATAGGGATAAACGCGATTTTCAAGGGATCTCATCAGGAAAAATGGACAAAAAATCGAAAAAATATTTTGTCTCAGGATTTTGTTGGAGAATTGTGGAGAATCGATCCACAAATCGATTAAGGTAATCCGCTTGAGGATCGGATGAGAATTGGGGAAGATATAGACATCCCTGTGGGCCCTATAGGGATAAACCCGATTTTCAAGGGATCTCATCAGGAAAAATGGACAAAAAATCGAAAAAATATTTTGTCTCAGGATTTCGATGGAGAATTGTGGAGAATCGATCCACAAATCGATTAAGGTACTCCGCTTGAGAATCGGATTAGAATTGGGGAAGATATAGACATCCCTGTGGGCCATATATAGTCTTTGAATATTGTGACTCAGGATCTGGATGCAGGATGGTGGAGAATCCACCAGGAGCCCCCCATGAGAAGGAAACTCACTTGAAGGCAGGCGTCAGTTGGGGCAGCTTGGGCGGAGGGCAGCAGACGAGCTGCTTCTTGGCCTTGCAACGCTCCCGCTGCAGCTCCTCGGCCTTGGACTTGTCCTCCTTGGTGTAGTGATAGAAGTAGACGTTGAACTCCTCGTAGAGGCGCTCCTTCAGCTCGTAGACACCCTTGCCGTCGGCTCCGACTGGCTTCTTGAAGACCGCCACCGAGTTGATGACATCCTCGAAGATGGTGTCGCCGTTGCCGCCGTTGCCGTCGGGCAGGGCGCGACTCAGCTCCGAGTGGGAGTAGGACTTGATGCACAGCAGCTGGATGATCTCCTTCATGAGGCGCTCCTCCTCGGTGACCATTGAGACGCCCGGCATCCACCGCTCGCCAATGATGACGATCAGCAGCTCGAGGAACTCGTCGATCATCGACAGCTGGCGCATCATCTCGTCGTCCACACTGGACTCGGCCAGCTTCTTCTCGTAGTTGGGCTGGGCCCAGGCGATCAGGTTGAACTTGTTCAGCAGATGGATGAGGAACTCGTTGCTCTCCATGAGGGAGGCACCGATCTGCAGGCAGCAGATGTCCCTGTCCAGCATCTCCACCCGACACCGTACGTTCCGATAGAAATAGAGTTGATGCAGCAGGGAGTAGCCGTTGCGGCGCCACATACCGGCAGCCACCTGGGCGATCATGGCGTGGGTGCACAGCACCGGTTCGATGATCTCCCTGGGCGTGAACTTGCGCTGCAGCGCCTCCGTCTCCGCCTGCAGGCCGTCGTAGGTCATGTCGTGGTCGCCCAGGTGCAGGTAGATGCCGGCGTAGAAGCGCGACAAGGGCAGGTGTATGGAAACGGAACTGGAGGAGACATCGTACACCAGGCAGTTGGCGACATGGCCGGCCACGCTCTTAGCCTCGGACTTCTGGCCCTCGACGATGAAGGTGTTGTTCATCAGCGCCCGCAGGGTCATCTTGTAGAGCTTGCGCAGCAGCTTGGCGTCGCTGGCCGCCCACTCGATCACCTGGGAGATGGTGGTGGCCAGCTTGATGTGCAGGTTGAAGGCGCACTCCCACTCCGGCTCGTAGTCCATGTGCTGGCCGGTCTGGCGGGTGATCGACTCCATGCCCTGCATCACGTTGAGGACGCGGAGGAGGGCGCGACAGCCCTCGAGGAAGCCGCTGCGCAGGTCGTTGCTCAGCACCTCCGGCTTCAGGCTGAGCAGGTAGCGCAGGTCGTACAGTATGTAGTTGGCCCGCTTGAAGAACGTCAGGCTGGCGATGTTCTTGCTGAAGTGCAGCGTCCGGTTCTGGATGAACTTCTCGATGGCCACGTGGTAGAACGTGTGCAGCAGCTTGTCGAAGATGCCCTCCTGGGCGATCAGGTGATGGGCTATGCTCGGCACCGTGAACAGTTGCACGCTGAGCGAGACAATCGAGAACGCGTGGTCGTGATCGTCGCCGATGAAGTCCTCCACGATGGTGGCGTAGCGGCGCGAGAACTCCTGGGCCAGCACCACCTTGTTCTCGTACTCCATCAGCATGCCGGAGATGAGGAGGCGGTGCCAGCAGGTGCGGGCCGTCTTCCACAGCTTCACGTCGTACTCGAGTATGTGGCGGATGCAGAATTCCTCCTGACGGCGCTGCACCAGGCTGGCGAACGTCTTCCGGAAGAGGCAGTGGCGGACGAGGAACTCCTGGAACCAGCCCAGCAGCTGTAGGGCGAACTGCTGGCAGGCCACCGCCCCGATGTGCAGCACAGAGGTGCGCAGCGACTGGTAGTTGCGCGGAGTGGTCACCAGTCCAGAGTGCGGCATCATTTGGTTCTCAATGGCTGTTTTCAGATCGTTGCATATCTGGAATGGAGGATGGAAGAAAAAGTGGCGACCGTGACATCAGTTTTGAAATGTCCGCAAAGTCCTCACCTTAAAGGTATCGCACTTGACCACCGCCCGCCCCTCGCGATCTATGGCCGCCACAATCTCCATGGCGTCCTTGTGACGGCACTTGGCGATCTTGGTGAGGGTCTGGATGACCTGGTCGAAGGTGTGCGACTCGTCGTTGTACAGAACCGTGCAATACTGTGGCCCATCCAACTGCCCCTCGGCGCCGGCGTCCAGGCACTGCAGACTGGCGTTCGGCTCGATCTCCAGATAGTTGACACAGAAGGCCAGTATGGCCCCAAAGCAGATCTCGGCACGCTCCAGCACGGCATCCGTGATGATCTTGCTCTCCAGCGGGTCTTTGCGATTCGCCTGAGGGATAAAGAGGGTTACTTTTGAGTGGAAAGCGCATGACAGATGGCTTGGGATTACATACCAGATGCAACTGACAGTAGTGATCCTTTTTCCAGGCCTCGTCGTCGCCGCAGTCGCAGCATCCACCGCCGCCGGAGGTGGACATCTTGTACTTGTGGAAGCGGTGCGCCGATCGCTTGAAGCAGTTGACGCAGAGCACGCAGGTGGGATCGACGCCGCACTCCCGGCAGCTGTACGTGGGCTCACCGTTCTTGAAGACCTTGCCACAAACGGTGGCGGTGTTGCCCTCCAGGCGGAGTTTCTCCAGCGCTGTCGCGGGATTGTCGCCCAGTATGAACTCGACCAGGACGTCGATCATCTCCTCCTGGGCCAGTGACTCCTTAAACATGCACTTGACTGTACAGATCAACAAATAGTTAGTTTAGTTTCAAAATATAAACAGAAGGAATCTAATGTTAGTTCCAGTCTACTGTACTGGTGGGTTGCAATAAATGGATTGGTGTAAATGGGTGTGGATGGGTGTGAAGAGGTGTAGAGAGGTGGAGAGTTGGCGTGATGGCGCTGACCTCCGGACTTACTGGAGCCGCGGATCAGACCGCGCTTTCCCTCCTGCAGGCGCTTGATCTCCTGCACGAGGTTCATGCTCTTGGTGTTCGAACGGATGATCTCGTCGAAGGGCACCAGGTCCGAGTCCATGGAGCTGTCGTCATCCGAACTAGAGTCGGTGACCATGTGCTCGCCGCAGCACGCCAGGCAGGTGACAGCTCGACACCCAGCAGTATGACAAGGATGATGAAGGATATATGAAAGGGGTGCAGTGAGGTACCAGGCAGGATGCAAGAGCAGGGAGTGATTAGTAAAGGAGAAGGATGGTTATAGTTAATGGAGGCATTCAAGTTAGTTGTGCTCTAGTTGGGGATTAATTTCTTGCAAAATTAATAACAAATTAAATTATAAATTAATATTTAAATTAATATATTAATAAATATAAGAAACCGTGCTAGCTTGATTAAGAAAATTAATCCAAGATCCTTATAGTCACATTATCTACTCACGAGTAAGGGCATTTGTATCTGAAATAAAAGAGAAAGATATAAATTAGTATTGGTAAATTAAGTATTAGTATTAGTAATTAACTAAATTAGTATAAAGCAGAGGTCGGCACGGCCCTATCTCGGGGGCATAGGAAATTTCTCTGCCCGAGCTCTGCCACACACACACAGTATAAATGTGTGAAACGTCATGCTCAAAGCCTACTTTCTGCTATACGTTACTAACACTAATGCGGTAAAATAATATCAATGTATTGGGGTGCCGACCTCTGGTATAAAGTATAGTTATAATAAGGTTTGATAAAGTATAAAGGTTTGTCTAACGTCGTAGATATTTTGTTAATATTCAGTGTTGTAAAGCGGTAAGTGATTTTCCAAACAAATTTTAAAATATATTTAACCTAAATTAAATATAAACATTAAATTAAATGAATAAAATTCCAGAAACAAAGCCTTTAATACACCATAGATTATACTACAGTTTTTGCAGCTAATACTACCTACCAATATTTATAAAATATATAATTTTTTATATATTTGTTAGTTATCATCGATTGTTATTTATTTATATATTATTTAGGCCATTGTGTCTTTTTATTAAGAGGGCTAAATTAAGCCCTAGACACAGCCTAAGGGTTAACACTTTTGTTAGTCAACACTGTTATGCTCACAGACTGCCCTATAGGTATTATATCAGGAACCATCCATCATTTATGATAATTAAAAAACGTCAGTCAACTTAAACCCATTTAATAGACTTCTTCCTAGTGCACTGTTTAAAAGACTTGCAATTTAACTCCTATGACTAATAAATACTATAGAATTATGTCTATTCATTAGTGATTTGCATTTATTTTTAATAAAAAATATTAATAATATTTGCAATTTATACAAATAGACTTTCTATGACACTGATGACTCTGAACAAGGATAACTGTCATCCATTTTCAAACCTTTGTAGGTTACTGCACCCCTTTAAAAAATAACCCATACGCCATGTGGGCCAGTAAGCCGCCAGGCCAATGTCTTTTATGGTTTTGATGAAATCGTAGACTCTCTTTGAACGCACTTTAATGACTTTATAATGGCTGCTGGGCCGATTAAGTCACTCAGTCGCGTGAGTAATGCAATCCACACTCCTAAAACATTATCTAAAAGCTTAGAACAGGTCAGACCACATGGCGATCATCACGATCGTGATCATGATCGTCACACTCTATACTCTGCTATAGCCATTATAATATTATTGTGTGGTTTTGGGCAAAACCACAAAAGAGAAAAAGAGAAAACCTTCGCAACCAAACGAGTTTCGAATTCAAAATCAAAATAAAAATCAAATTAAAATTAAGATTTAAACTGAAATGCAATGTAAATGCAAACAGCAGGAAAGAAAAAAAAAAAGATTTACAACAAATATGTACTCGGTTCAAGGTCGCTCTGATCTCTCTCTATGATGAACTCCCCCCTCTCTATGATGATGATGGGGAGAATTATTACGAAGAGGCAAGAGTTGAATAAATTTCCTTTAAAAGCACGAAATATTATCAAATTTATTATCAATGCATCTGACGTAGCTGGCCAGGGCTATCAGTTATATTTATATATATATTTATATATATATATATATATATAGATATTTTTATATATTTATTCAAGAGGAAGCAACTATCCAAAGTAAAAATTATAGATAGTACCTGTATTACCATATGGGCTGTACTTTCTGGTCTTTTTTTAAGGTCTAGAAAATTGTATGAAAATTTTAATAACAATAAGATTATAACACTTTGAAAATATGTATACCATATATAAGCTCTTTTATTTTAAGGTCTAAAAAACCTTAAAAAATAATACATTATACCCTCTTAAAAGCTTTAAAAATATATATTATTATTTTTTTATTTTGAAGACTGTAGTAGCATATTTCTTGCTATTTTTTAAGCGTACAAAATTTTATGAAAAAAATGTTCTGGTCTCTTGAAACCTATAAAAAATATACACGAATTTCCTTCAAATAATCTATGTATATTTTTCACTCTATAGTACCTCATACTTTCATTTACTTTTTAAGGTATGGAATATTATCTTTAAATGCAAAAAAAATAAGACAATAAACCCTCTTAAAACCTCAAAAAATAAAAATATTTCTTAAAAATAACCTCTATTTTAATGTCTATAGGTGAAAAATGCAAAAATATATAGTTGAGAGCCAAGTGTAAGCTAAGGCGTAATAAACTGGAACAAAGAAGGTGCCCGCCTGGAAAAGATGACACACACAAAAACAAAAACAAAATATATATAAAAAAAAAAATAAAAAAAAAAAAATGTAACTGAAAATCACTAAACAAGAAGTGAACTCTTCAGTGAGAACAGAAGAACAGAGGTGTCTCCCCGTAAAAGAAAGAGCAAAGACATTTCATTCAGAAGAATGCATTCGTACAGTGTGGAACATAAAGACATAAACAAAGGCAAATAAATAATTAATAAAAATGAAAATCAATTCTTTAATTAATTGAAATTATTAAAAAAAAAAAAAAAAACCAATACCTCAAATGCTTCCCCCCTTAATGACTTTTAAATTAAAAATTATAAATCATAATAAGCAGCCATAATTTAAATGTTTAATAACTCATTCCAATATCCGTATAATTACGCGATGAATAAGCCATTTGACGAGCTGTTGCGACTTTTACACGAGCCACTGTAGGTGGCGAATTTATTGCACATCTTGACACAAAAATAACAAAAACCAGGCTGTCGGAAATTTAACAGCGTCCCAAATAAAAAAGATATATACGAGATATATAATTATATATAATATATATCTATATACATAACAAGAACAAAAACGGGAGAGAGATCATTACAAAGGAAATCAGTTGGCAGGGGCAGAGGTAGGGGTAGGTGGGCGATCGACCTTATATAAATCATGATAAATACACGGCGCGAAATAAATTGCAAATCGGTGGCCGATGACGATGCCGATGCACGAGTGTGGGTGTGTGGGGTAATTGTGTCATGTCTCAGCTGTAAATGTTATTTTTCGTGAATATCGGCTCACAAAGAAACGAAACGAAATGAAAGCGAAAACAAACAAAACAGATACAGATACAAATGCTAAATATTCGATGGTTGAAAGGTTTAAATACACTCTTCGAATATATTTCTATAAAACAAATAAGTGAAATTAAAAAATAATATGAGTTGCAAAGCACCTTGAAAGCTTTGTTCTTTCTTCGAAAAAGTTCTTTTAATTTTACAGAATTTTTAAAGAAAGAAAAATTATTAATTATGATGGAAAAATAGACATTCAATGTAAATCATTGCTCTTAAATATAAATATAAAAAAGACAGTGATTTATAATAAAAACAAAGAGAAACTAAAATCACCACAAGGAAATTGTATTAAATATTTAAAAGTTATTATTTTGTAGAACTTATTTATGAAAAAACCGATAACTTCGATAAATGTAAGTATTCCAACTAATATTTTGGAATCATAAAAATTGTTGAATTTCTTCATAAAATGATCTAAAATATTATTCACGATAGTCACTTTTAAGACTAATATATCAACAGGATTTATCGGATATCGGATATTTCTTTAAATAGTATAATTAATATAATTACTCATAACTCGGAAATTCCGTATTAAAAAAATCTATCAACCTTTTTCCCTTAAAATAAATAATTATTTAATACATCCTTTGTATGAATCTTTCTTGAAAAATAATAAATTAATTTTTTTACCAAGAAAACTCTATATTAAAAATATATTTCGCTCATAAATAAAAATTATCCGAGTTTATAAAAACAAATGCCACAAAAAACACGTCAGAGGAGTGGAATTGCCAAAGCAGCAAGGCAACTGGACCAGATAAAAGCAAGTTGAATAAACTGCATCCGAATACAAGCGTGTTTATAATATATATACACAGGAATATATATAAACACTTTCTTGTTGTGTTTATCTCGGCGTTATCAGTCAAAGTCTTTGGCGTTTTTTTATGTCATCTTGCCTCAGGCTCATCTTCCACCGCGTCGCTGTCTTTCGTCATTTTTAAACGGCGTGTTTTTAGCACGCTTGTCTACGACCAATTAGACAGACTGCAAATATCAGCAAATGCTATTTTTAATTTTTTTTATATATGGAAAATATTTATGCAGTGTTACAGAATCTATTCAAAGGGAAGTACTTTCTTCAGAATAATACCCAAATTCCCTTGAAAAATTATTCAATTTATTTTAATAATAAGTTCTAATTCTATAAATTCTATTAAAATATCTTTTTCTTGACTAATTATTTCAAATATTATATTACTAATATTGAAAATATTACACAGAACACCAGTGTGGTAGTATAAGTAGTATAGGTACAAGTAAAAGTATAAGTACTCTATAATACGCGACTTCCACCTGGTTGCAACTGATAAGGTAAATCAGATTAAAATCCAGAAGCTACAAAAGGTAGATAATATTCCGAAAACGTGCCGGAAAGATATGGTATATAGAGTTAAAATTATAAAAAAATAAAACATTTTTGTATTAAAAATACCTAGCAAAGAAGGGGCATAGTTTTTAAAGAAAATTATAGAAGCTTTTCAAAATTTTGGACAAATATATGATGAGAATTTCGATATATTATCGATAAAGTAACTAGTAGTCTTCCAACATTTATCGCTAAAGTTACTAATATTTGTTGAAGAAGATTTATTTCATTAAATGAAACATCATTTTCTACATATCAGTTAAAAAAAAACATTAAATATATGATAAGAAAACTATTATTTAGAAACATCGATATATTATCGATAAAATTGATATTCCCTTTTGCCTTTATAGCATATAAGAATAAATAACCCCCCCCTTAGAGTTCTCAAATATATGAAAAATAATATCCCAGACATCAGTAACAAAACGATGATTACAAATATTCAATTCTGATTACATTTTCGATACGTTTTCGATTAAACAACGATTGTGTGTCACAAAGACATTTGCTACTGGTTGCTGTTTACCAGCGTGTATTACGTAGGATTCCCTGGCGGATACCCGTGCTGATATTAAATCAATATGTTATAAACAGTAACCCGACTCTAAATTGGGAATGATGCAAACTATGTAGTAGTTCCTAGTTCCATCCAATTTGCTTGCCTCAAGGCGATAAATGATTCGGTGTCTCCCTGGGGCTTTTGGGGCGAAAATGCGACTCCGTTCTAACGGAATGTGGTGCAAACGAGTTTTACTTTTTGTTTTTTTTTTATTTTTTTAGTTTTTATTTCAGTTTGTTTATATAATTTATTTCTGTTCATATCTGGGAGAGTGCAGTGTCTGTGTGTGTTGCTAGGCCGGGCTTTGCCAGTTGCATACACACAGATACAGAAAAGGTGAGACAGGTAGCACAAGTCGAGGTGTTCAGGTGAGCTTGAGGTGGGCAGTAGCAGTAGTTACCCAAAAGCTGTAGCTTTTGTATCACCGGCAGCGTCAAACTTGGAGAGCCAATTGAAAGGAAAATCATGGCGCACCATGGCCTGGCCGATACGAGAGCTCACGGAAGCGTGCGAAAACATCAAGCGATAGAAAATGGAAGGGGGGTGTTGGGTGGGGTGGGGAATGAAACGTAATATAAATACGCGAAAATAGGCATTGCATATGTATTGCCATGTATGAAATGTATGCAATTGTTCAATGGCAATAAACAAAAGCAGAAAGCAGAACCCAGAACTCAGAACGCAGAACAAACAACACACAGCAATAATGATAATTCAAGAGCGAGATTTTATAATGGGATTCTCCCACATTTCTCCCGCACACCCCCCACCTACCAACATTCTGAACTAATATTAATAGTTATATTATATTTATTTAGAGACCATTACTCTTATAAATGACTTATCTAATCGATAAGTTAGAGAACAAATATCGATATCGATAAGAACTGCTTTGACATCAGCTTCCAGTAGAAGAAACTGGGGAACTACAAGAATAAGCCATATCTGTTCAAGTAGGTCTCCGCTTTCGATTTTGATGGCTGGATTCAAGTGCCGTTGCCAAGCCAATCAATATTGAATTATTATCGCTCTCTTGCAGTGCTATCTGACTCCCATATGACGTTGCCAACAGACCCAGCAATGACTTTCTAAGAATCGCACTTCCGCCGAAAATAGCACTGCTTGCTTCAGACTCCTGATGCAAACTGCTTGCTTTTGTAAACATGTTGGAACTTGCATAGCTTTTGAACTTGTACATTGTAGGTATTTTAATGAGAAATTATAGTTTTTTTTTGGAAACATGTATAAAGAATATACCCACAAGACTAACAAATAAGGTCTCATATGATTTTCTGATTACATTCCCTTTTCATTCTCTGTCTCTCCCTTTCTATCAGACACACGCGTATTTGATACTTGCTCTCACACACACAGACACACACACAAACAAAATAAATCTGAGAGTTGCCTAATTGGAATGACATTTAAGGGAAATCAGTAAGGAAGTGCAAGCTCAGCTCACCTGTTTCCATTTCGTTCGAGTAGTCGAAGTACTTGGGCGAATCCTTCTTGAAGAACTCGACAATGTCGCTGCGTGCGAGGGTGCCGGCCTGGAACTTGAGGCGCCACTCCTTGAGCGGCGAATTGCATTCGGCGGGAGGTGCCACCACGACGTCCTCCATGTCGTAGCGATCCATTGCGCTGCGCTGCAGTTGCTCCTTCTCGCCTCTGCTCAGGTGCTTCTTCTTCTGCTCCTTGCTAGCTCCCTTCTGTTAGCGCCACTGGAGGAAAGGGATGGGGGATACTTGTGTGTGTTTTTTCGCCTCTCCTCTTTGATTTTTGTGCCTTTGGTGCTGCGATTATACCACTCTCTCTCTCTCTCACTCTCTCGCTGCTGGTTCGCTCTCTTGGGGCTCTGCTGGCGCGTGGGTGGCTCTGCTTTGTGTCCTTGTTCCGCTGTTGCAGCTGTTCTGATTGTTACGGTAGTTTTTGTTATTAAACTATTTTCTTTGTTTTTTTTTTTATATTATAATTATATTTTATTGCTGCTTTTTTTTTTGCTACTGCATCAGAATCGAGCGCGAGATTTATGAATTTTCTTTTTTTTTTCAAGCGTGTGTGTGCACCGTTGGGCTCTCTTCTCTTACGTTTCGCTACAAAAACTTTGCTACCAAATAAGAAAACACAAAAAAACAAATAACTAGAGGGAGTAAACAAAATTTGGTAATTTTCACAAATAACTAAAGTTTCTTCTTGAAATTTTGTGTTTTTTTTTAGAGGAAAGAGGGGGATTAGGGGAGCTCTTTCGCTCGCTCGCTCTCTTGATTCCTGTGTCTCGTGCTCGTGTCTCTTGCTGTTCTTTCCCTTTCCCACTGCACTGCACTATCTCTGTCTCCACGATGTTATATAGTTGTTGTTGTGTTTCTTGTCGTTGCTATAAATTTGATTTCTTTTTTTTTTTAATTTTATTTTTTTATATAAAAAAGTGTTTTTTAGCAACTACTACTTCCAACACACACACACTTTTCTACAAAAGTCTTACTCCTAATAATTTCTGTTTACTACTGAAGTTCCCCGCTCCCGTTGGAAGCCCGTTGGAAAAAAAAAGTGACAGTCAAAGCCAATGTGATTCGTTTTGTCGTTTTCTTCGTCTTCTTCTTTGACGTCGTCGTGCGTTGCGTTTGCGATGCTTTTGCTGTTTCCGTGCCGTTGCCGTCTCGTTGCGTTGCGATTTCTGCGCAATGCGTTTTCTTTTTGGGGAAAATTTGTGCAAGGCGCAGTTTACCGTTGCAACTGTTGCTTGGCCAAAATGAAAATTTTACTCTCGCCCCGTGTATATATCTTGAAAATGTCGTTGTTTTTGTCTTTTTAGTTTTGGCAGCAAAACAAAAACAAAACGCACGCGAGCTATTTATCATGGGTGGGAGCAGGACGGAGATGAGGGCGAGCGAAGGAGATCGCGCATGTCTCAGTAAAATGAAAAGAAAAAAAAAAAAAAAAACATTTGACACTACACACACACACACTTCCACAGAGACACACTAATACCAAGATAAAAGCACTCCACTATATTTAGTTTGAATTTTATAATAATCGCATTTATTAGTAATCTATTGTTTTGTTGTATCTTCTGGCACAGCAAAAAAAAAATCAAATCTCTTTCGCTTTTTTTCGAAGACAAGTTTTCCTCACACACACACTGGCACGTCGGGCAGCTGACGAAAGAGGATTGAGCAACACGCACACTCACGACGTTCGTTGCGTTCGTTTTTCTATAAATTTCGTTTCCTTTTCTTTCGTGCTATTTCTTGGGGCTATTTATTCGCTATTCACTATATGCGTACTTGCACTTCAACAACTGGATGTTTGCGTTCGGTTTTTTGCTTTCTTCTTTTTCTTTTCTTATTTGCTCAAACGTGCAGACGCCGCGTCGACTGTCTGCATTTCAAAAAAATTATTTTTAAGTAGGGATGTCGAAAACATTTATTTATATTAATCGTACTAATTTTTCGCGAAATATCGTTCATCGATTAATCGGTATTGTTTGCTGGTATTTTCTGGTCTGTCACATGTTAAACAGACGTCTTATACTCACGCGATACCCAACATGTCGTGAGCAGTATCTATTAAATTTTCTTAATAAGACTTTATGGGAGAGTCATATTTTGAAGCCAAATTTATAAAATTAAATCATAAGATTGCTTATATTTGTGTTACCACATTATATTCGTGCGGGCCAGGAGTTTTTTTGCGAACCGGGCGGAAGTGTACGAACCGGTTAAAAGTGCTGTTAAGTAACAGCTGTATAAGCAGCTGTAATGTAACAGCTGATAAATGGTTATTGTTAAGTTAGGCGCGCTTTTTGAATTCTATAGATTCACAATAAAAACAGTTTATAAAGTCTTATATAACTATTTTGTTATTTGATAAACTCGAAAACTTGAAAAATACATATTCTATACATTCCGTACATTCCCTCATTGACTAACCACACTACAATACTTCAGCTTCTTCAGATTATCCTTTTTATCCTTCAGCGGCTGCGTGGCCTTGTCATTTCGGAACTCCACCGCCCTTTCGGCGTTTCCGCCGCCCGCCTGCAGCAGCGTCTCTCTCATCCGGCGCCAGACCCTCGTCGCCATCGACGTCGGGATCACCATCCCCCCGATATGAGTCAGGCTAAATGCCTCGCCGCACGGGTTTCGGGGCAAACAGGACCTTGGCCGGCTTGCAGAGCTCCAATTCGCTGCCAGGACGAACGGCCAGGCACAGCTGGATCTCCACCAGCGAGGCCTCCGTCCACACGCTGTGCGAGAGCAGGATGGTGGTACGTAGACGCACATTCGTCTCGTGCTCGCCCTGCTCGGTCATGATGGGCTTGAAGTCCGTCATCTTGGGCACCACGGTGTGCATGTGCTGGTCTGGGTATTTGATTTTGATCCGCATGTCGGCCTTTTGCGACTCCAACAAGTTATCGATCTCCGCCACAAAGGGCACGGCTGCAATCAGTCCGGCTGTCACCTTAATCACATTATCCTGCGACTGCAACGGGCAGGGCTCCAATATATTGGCCACACACCGCCGGATCTTATCGTTGGCACGCGGCAAGGCCAGGGGCGGCGCTTGCTGGACCAGCGGCAGGATCTCTCGGAAGACCCGACCCGGTTTGGGATCCGAAATAGCGTCCAGTTTGCTTAGCAGCTGGCGCGTAAAGCTGTCGGGTTGCGGATCGCCTCCTGCAGCGCCCTCCGCCTGGGGTTTCTCGGAGTCCACCTGAGACATTAGTGATCCCATTAGCGCAGGTGGGAGTAGTGTCTCTTCGTCCTCCTTGGAATTGGCCTTGATGAACTCACTGATATCGCCGGCAGTCTGCAGAAGCATCTGGCAAGGTCCCAGGGCGCTTTGGGACCGATCTCTCACCACCAGGACAAGGTGGAGGGCACAAGCCCTCAGACGTAGCTGCTTCACCTGCAGGATGTCGCCGTAATTGAGGCCGGAGAATGTGTGCTGCAGCTTCAGGCAGTTTCGGATGAGAGTCGCCAGGGACTCCTTCACTGGAACCCGGTTCCGTTGCGTGCTGGCACACCGCTGCATTTGCTCGATCTGGATTTGGGCAGCAAGGAATGTCTCCAGGAAGTTTGAGGTACCATACATGCCTGCATCGATGGCTCCCAGGCGCTATGGAGTAAATACCAAGGAGTTAGATGCTTCAGGGGATTGAAAAGGCAACTCTTACCTGGAGATTACTCTGAGCCGTTTGCAGCAGCTCCACCCGCTCGTCGGTCATGGTGAAGATCTCCTCAATGTGGCTGAGTATCATCTGAAGGTATTCCGACGAGCTGCCCGCCTGGCGCACTGCATCATCGATTCTGTGAGTGGCGCAGGACGATGACGCGCCTTCGATGGGCAGCTGGGGCACCATGCTCGGCATGTAGTCCCTCAGATAGGCGTAGTGCCGATGCGTGGCCGTCGGCAGGAGGCTGATGATGGGCACCAGGTGCTCCGCAGCATTGAAGACCAAAATCAGGACGCACAGGTACGCTGGATCCTCGACATCCCGTTCGGGCGTCTCGAAAAAGGGATGCACGTAGAGCAGGTGAACGGTCACGGCCATGACCAGATGAGGATGTTTCTGGCCGATTTTGCGCATGCAGGCGTAGGTGGAGGTGCGATCCTGCGGATACTTGGCCAGGACGTCCAGCAGCTTTTGCACCACCATCAGCAGGCACGTTTGTGTCGACACCCGACAGGCGCCGAGCATCAAATGGAGACCCTCGCGCACATCGGCCGAGTAATCCTCCAGAGAACTGAGCATGATCTCCAGCTGGTCCTCGCGCAGCACTATGTGCCGCGCTATGGCCGTCAGGCTGTAGATGGCCTTCAGCCGCACATCCTCGATCTCGTCGTTGAACATGTCCACCAGGAAGTCCAGGCTGGTGACTGCGAAGTCCGGTCGAGATAGTGCCAACTTGCACATGGATGCGACGGCTGCAGTGCGCACCTCCAAGAACTCATCCTCCAGGCCATGGATGAGGGCGCCACAGGCACCGCTGGCAATGATCGAAATGCTCCTGGCGTCCAGTCGCTCCTGGGGCGCATCGTCCGCCCAGCGCTTGCCGGAGGACCACTCGCCGCTGGTCACCAGGCGGGCGCCGCGCTCGTGGGCGGTCCGCTTTCGGCGCAGGTTGCTCATCAGCTTCTTGTCCAGCGTTTGGTGCAGGAACTCCCGACTGACGGCCGTCATGCCGCCAAGCAGCTCCGCCGCGAGCACCCTGATTTGCAGCGAGAGGTCGCACAGGGACTCGCACACCTTGCTGAAAGCGGCGTCTATCATCCGTATGTCCTCCTGCTGGCGCTCCGAGGCTATCACGTAGTCTGGGTGTCGGTTGCCCAGCATATAGACCAGCCGGAGAGCCTCCATTCGCACCGTTTCGTAGTCATCCTTCATGGCCTCCACGGCGCGTTTGTAGAGCACGGCTGGAAGTAGGGATCCGCGCTCGCCGAGGGTCAGCAGAGCGTGCAGAGCCTGGGCCCGGACACCCGAGTCCTGAGAATCAATGTAGAAGGCAAGTTTCCAAACGTAATGCCGTTCGCCTTCCGATTTGGTAGCAAAGCCTCCGATCACCAGCATGGCGTTCTTCTGGGTGTGCGTCGACCCCGAACGTAGCTGCTCCTTGGCGAGGTGCGCCACCTGAGTGTTGTAGGCCATGGGGACCAGGTGCTTCCGGCGCTGGCCAATCCTGTAGAGGCACATCATGCCCTGGGCCAGTACCTTCTGGGACGTCTCCTTCCGCAGCAAGTAAATGAAGAAGTCAATGATTAGGCAAACTCCCTGTTCCGAGTTGCATTCACAGCCCAGCCCGGACAGCAGTTCCAGCAGCTTTACTCTCACAGAGGTATCACTGTCCTTTTCCTGCGCCTGGAACAGCTGGAAGATCTTGCTGGCGACTTCCTTCAGCTCCGCCAAGTCCACATCTTCGTAGGATATCTCATCGGTGATTTTGACCAGGAGATCCAACAAGTCGCGATTAGTACCCGGCGGCGGGACCACGACCGTTTGTGGCGGCGGATTGGCAAGCACGAATGGCACCCCCAGCGGCATCGGAGCCCCCACAGGTATGGGTCCTGGTGGTATAGCGGCCACATAGCCATCTAGCTGGCTGATCGCGAGCAGTTTCCTCTCCGGTCCGGCTGCTTTACCCTTGGTATCGGCCGACGTTCCTGTTTGGAGTCGCAACTTCTTTATCGGCGGCGCTCCGTCCACGGTTTCCACGTAGGAGCCGGTGTGCGGCTTCTTGATGGCCTGCGCCATTGTCTCCAGTGATTCTGACTATAATTTTCCACCTGCAGACAGTTTATTTTGTATAAAAGTTGCAATAAACTAAATAGGTGCCAGCCGGGTCGTGGAATTCTTATAGTGTGGCCATATCATCGATAGTGGTAGCACACCGCGAACGGTGCGCGGCAAGATTTATCGATAGATTCTCACGACTTGGAGGGGAAATTCAAATAAAGACGAATCATTTTAGTTTTTTTTTCATATAGTTTCTATAGTTTATTTCTCATTATAGGTTTTACAGCTTACACGTTGTTTTGATCTTTACCGTTAGCAATTGTTTGCTTCACTTGCCTGCCAAATTTCAGACAAGGATTTTTCCTGCTGCTGTTTCTGTTGTTGTTTTTGTTGCTATTGTTGTATATGAATTTGTTAATCTTAAGTTTATATTTGATTCGCTAAAAACTCATTTTAAAAAAGTATCTTGTTCATTTTTTTGTATGATTTTTGTTCTTTTTTTTTTGTTTTTGCATAATATGTACTTTGTTGTTAGGCCATTGGTTAGCAATAATAATCATAATAATCATATATGCAAGTAAATTGTTTCAAGTTGGATATTACTGAGTGGTTAGATAAGTAGTTCTTGTTGTTCTTGTTGTGACAAAAATATACATTACAAACACATTAATTGCCGAACCACACATGTACACATACTAAACGTGTTTGTTCTTGTTCTCTGTTGTTTATCGTTAATCGTGTCTTATCGAATGTATTGTGTGTTTTGTTTACCGTTATTCGTGTTATTTTTGTTATATGTTCATTTAGGAATCACAGTATTGTGCAAATTACCTTTATTTTTAATTGAAAAAATTGCATATGCATTTGATGACGTTTTGCTTTTGTATTTTTATTGTTTACGACATTTTTGAAGCAGCATATAAATATTATTTTTTTTGTGTAAATGTCTATGTAAATGTTAATGTAAAATAGAACCCGACACAGGCAGTGCAATTGTTGTTGTTGTTGTGGTTCTCATTTCCTCTGCTATCGAAAAACGAACGATTACTTTCGATTATTCCACTGATGAACACTTTAAGTTTTTTTTTATTCGAAAAAGAGGAAATATTAGTTTAGTTTAATTGTTTCCTTTTTGGGGCTTGTTATTAACTATTTTGAGTTTTCATATTTCTGTTTTTTTCTTTTGGGAAATCACAATATCTATGCAAAATCTTATACATCTCTCTATATGTTTTTTGTTTTTGTATATATATATATATATATCGCTTTGTCGTGAACATTAGATTTAGATCGTTGTCCTCTATACATGTAAATATATATTATATATCCATATATACGTTGTATAGCATATTTTGTTTGGTTTTTTATGTATTGTTTTATGAGTAGTTTGTTGTTGTCCTTGCGGGTTCTCTTTCACTGTCTCTTATTCATTTCCTTTTTCATACTTTCTTCATTACTTTCTTCTCTTTACTTTCTTATTACATTCATCCATTATTATGTCAATCGTTGGGATATGCGTGGTGCAGGTGAATCGTGTATGTGGATCGTTCGGTATTCTGTGTCTTGTCTCCCAATAATTTCTTTCGGTGTGTGTGTTACGATGTCAAATTTAAAGGGTATTTGGTAGTCGATTCGATTGAAAACTATGCTCAAGCCGGGGTTCTTTATAGTTCATTACATATAGCTATAGCTAATTGAAATAACAACAAACAGAACGCAGTGCACAAAATACGGATCATCAAATTACACACCTTCTCTAGATCTTTTTCCTTCTTTTTTTTTTACTTTATACTTTTTTGTTTTTTTTTTTTAATCTAATGCAAAATTTTACTAAGCAACCCTGTATGTATGTCCAAATAATTATAAGCTTATATATCCATCTAATGTACACATCATACAGCCTAACTCGCAAACAAAATATAAATCCAAAAAACAATAGAACTTTCAAAAAAGTGTTTTCCAAATTTGGGTTCAAAGCGGCAAAGTTTTCAATTCGAAAATGAAATGGTTTTGTTCGTTTTTTTGTGTTTTTTATATAATTTACTTTATTGTGTTTGGTTTTCTTTTTTTTTTTTTTAGATTCTAATGCCACTTTGTGTGTTTTAGTTTTAAAAAAAAATTATGTATACATTGTTTAAATATTATTACAGATATCTGGATAAAAAGTGGTTTCAACATTCTTCATACAAATAAGAGGCTCTTAATATCGGGGAGTACTATATATGGAACAATATTACTGCATTAAATAGGTATTCGAGGGTGGATCGAGAAGTATACATCTCTTGCCGTTACCCCTTTGGTTTACAACTAATTTTGTTAATTAACTAATTTGCTTTACTTAACGAATTAATGGACAAAACTGAAAGGTTTACTGTTTTTTTTCTTTGTTTTATTATTTTATTTTTTGGTTTTAAAGACTATACGCGAAAAATTACATTATACTATGGACGAAAATCAGAAACTTATATACGAGATATATATTCGAAAAATTGCCGCCGAAAGGAATCTGTAGCTCTTATAAGTGTTTTCTCTTATTTGTTTTCTACCTTGTAAGTCTTTTAATTATTGGCGAAAAGTAAACGATTTCAAGTTGAGAATTATCGGACTTGCTGCTAAATTGAACACATCGATATACTTATATTTTGTTGTTGTTTTTGTTTTGTAAGTCATACAATTACAAGCCGTACTGTATCATTATCTGTATATAATTGTTTTGCAAAATAGTCAAGGCAAAAATCGTCAGACATATGTATGGATCTGAGGCCTGAGTTCTCACGGCATTATCTTCGCAATTCAGTCAACAATTGATCGAAGCTGCCCTGATTTTTGTACACTTTGAACAAATCTTAGTTACATATATGTATTTAGTGTTGTTGGAAATCGGATGATGCTCTGTTTTTCTTTTTGTGGCCCTTTTCTATATTCCTATACTCGATCTCCCAGTTCGCCGTTTTCAACTCACTTTTCTTCCTTTCGCCTTGTGCCACTAAAAACTAAAATATATTTTTGGTTAAAGTTTACACAAAAAATTAAAAAAAATATTACACAAACAGGCATCATCATTTTTTGGTTTTACATTTTTGGTTTTTTTTTATGCTTATAAAAAAATTTCTTTTTTTTTTTAATTTGAAAAGGCGTTCCTGTTGTTTGCTACAATTATTCATTTTTTTAAGCCAAAAAAAGCCAAATAATATGCTTTAAATTCATGCGAGATTCTTTTTTTTCACTTTACAAATAATTATCATTTTGTTTTCCTTCTTTCTTTTTTTGCAGACACTTAAAGCAGTTTTCGTTTTACACATACAATTACACAAAGTTTTCATTTTTTTTTAGTATTTTTTGAATAAAAATTAAGAAATCAGAGGCGTAAAAATCAAGGGGGAGGAATCGAATTCCAGCCACGCCTCTTAGACGTAGGTGGCGACGGCGGCCGCATTGGCCGAACCAGCTCCTCCGTTGCTGGCAGCTGCTGCTGCTCCGGCTCCAGATCCTGATCCTCCGGGAGCGCCGGATGCGGCTCCAGTTCCTCCGGAAGCTCCTGCGGCAGCAGATCCTCCGGCGGCAGCGCCCGCCTGATGCGCCGAAGCGGAATTGTTCAGCGGCTGTGGGCTGACTGGGGGTTGCAGCTTGCCAGGAACATACTGGCCAATGAAGGACCCATCCTCGGTGAATTGTCCTGTTAAAAAAAAGGAAAAAATAGAAAAGAATTAATAACAAAGTAATTTAGGGTTTATTTTAATTTGTTAAGTTTAAAGCTCACAAAGGGCATTTTGACATAAATCTTAAATATTTTTTAATTAATGCCCTTTGCTTTTTTTTATTTTAATAATTTTTAGTCTTAAGTCTCATTGTTAACCACAACCAAACACCAGTGCATTTTTTTATTAATGTATGTATTAGTATGATTATTTTCATCGCGTTCGCTTCTTAAGTCATTTGTTTTAGTCATGTTATGATTTTGATTTTGATTATTTTTTTTTTGGGGTTATTGAAAGGGGGACTGAAGGGAATTAGACTACAACTACAGGAAAGCCAATCAAAAGCTACAGTTATATAACTAATTAATAAAAATTAACATGCTTGAAAATAATATTCAACTTTACCTTGAAAACAAGTCGTCAAAAGAATTTAATACAAAATCTAGATAAAAAATAGTTTGCTAATATATAGCATGCTACGATAATAAATCTAAAAAAATATAATTTAAATTAACAAAGTCTACACAATATTTGTTGTTTATTATTATTCGGTTTTCTTTATTTTGTTTGTTTTTCTTTCTAATTTTATTTAATATATAAACAAATTGTATTTCTCATATAGTTAAGCAGCTGGGTCTGCTCATCTTGATTCTTTAATATTAAATACTACTCGGAAAAAAAAGAAACTTATTTTGTTGCATTCTCTTTTCCGGGAAAACAAACGTAAAGGAAACATTTTTTACATTTTACAACACTGTTTCACTGTCCAAATCAAGTTGACAAAAAAAATTAAAAAATAAAAAATTCATTACAAAAACTAAGAGAGTACAAAATAAAAAAAAAAGTATAAAACAAAAAATACAAAGTAATCTAAAGAATATATAAGAATAAAAGTAAACATGTAAGCAAAAATGTTTGATTTTCGTTCGGCCAAGCTAAAACGGAGATTTTACATTCAATTGTATTTTTTTTTTTTTTTTTTTTTTTTTGCATTTCATTTGTTTTGTTTCTTGTAAAAAAATAATGTTAAATTATAACTTATTTAGGCTCTATATATATATATATTTCTATATATTTGCATTACAAGTAAAAGAGAGCGGGACAGATATACAGAGCGTGGTATGCAGTGCACGGGACAGATGGGGACAGGTATACATACATACAAATGTATGCATATATTTTTTAAATATATTATTAAATATTGGAGATTTTATAAGCGAGCTTCAATTTCCGTACTTTCATAGCGATAATAAATAGCTGCCAAAAAATGTGTGTGTTCGAAATAAAATCCAAATTAATTTGAATATTTCGTTGGCCTGTTTCTCTTTGTTTTTTTTTTAGAGGCCTGTTTTCCATAATTTTGTGATTTCGATATATTCGGATGTTTTTTCATTTAATATTTAAATTTTTATCTGCTTCGTTTGCTTCCTCTTTCACTTTCTTAGCATCGTCATCTTCTCCTTGCTTTTTGTTTATAGCCTTTTGCTGCATTTTGTTGTTGTTGTTTTATATGGTTGCTGTTGTTGTTCAATTTGTTTGGCAGTTTTGAATTTTCTAAATTAATTTTATATATAATTTATATATATTTAAAATTAATTGTCGATTTTAAAACATAATCGAAGCAGAAACGTTGTTGCGTTGAATCCTGTGATGATTTGTCAATGGTTCGTTTTTTTTGTTGTTTAGTGTATTGGATTCTGTGGGGAATTGTTTGTTTTTGTTGTATGTATATGTTTGTTTTTTTAAGGGCTCGGTTTCTATATTTGAGTTGTAGTTGTTGTTGCGGCGCGCTGCTTACTAATTAAATCAAAGTCCTTTGCGTCCATATTGGCCAATAAAGGATCCGTCTTCGTTCATGCCTATATAGTTGGTTTTGGTTTTTTATTTATTTATTTATTTACATTTTTTTATTTTTCATGTTATGGTTTGTCATGTGTGATTGAGAAAAAAAGAAAAAATAATAATATAAAATAAATCAAGTGCAATCGAAAAGTAAACAATTATGTAACACAAAACGTTAAACATACAAAAATGTCTGAAACAAATCAGCAGCTATGGTATCTATAACCTTTTTTTTTGTTGGTTAGTGCAAAAAAAAAAGAATAAAGAAACAGGAAAATAAACAATCAACAAACTTCGTGCAGAGATCAATCAAAGTTCAATGGAAAAGCAAAAGCTTAGGAGAGCTCAGCTCAGCACAGCACAGCCTAATTGTAACGGGACGCTCTCTTCAAATCAATCTGGAAGGGAGTGATGGGCTGGAGCGAGAGTGGGGAGCGAGATGGTAAAAAAAAGTTGGAGCAGCAGCCTTGAAACATCATGCAGCGACTTCTAAGCGGCAGAGCGGAGAGGACAGTGGAGAAATTACACTAGCGGTCAACTGAAAGGGCCTTGTTTTAGATTCTATTGATTTAAAAATTATATTTTTTATAATTTATACCTTATTTCAAAAATTTTATCTTTTGTATATGGATATAAGTTTCAAATATTTTTTTTTAGAATAATAATAATTTTAGAGACACTATTCAGTTGACCGGCAGTGTCTGTCTTGCGAAAAAGCTCCCTTTGGAAGCGCAAGGAACACAGCCGCATAACGGAAACAAAACAACAAAAGTTTAAAAAGAAATCAAGGAGAGCCTCTACCTGGACTGATTGGAATCGCTTGCATGTGAGAGCATGTGTGTGTTCGTGTGATTGTGAGAATATGGCTGCTGTGTGGTTCGAGGATGGGGGCGGTGGGGTTGGGCAACAACAACAGCAACACAATAAAGTTAGAGGAATAGGAAGACAGGAGCCTGCCTTTCTCTATTCTCTTAGGCTTTGTTGTTCCCACCGTCCGCCATGACCACATCGTAGGAGGGCGGGGCCGGTGAGGGGGAGGACGGCGGTGGGGATAAAGGCAATGGTGGAACGGAAACGGATGTGTTTGCGGAAGATGCCGACGCAGACGTCGACGGTAGCTGAGACAGCAACTGCTGTTGTTGTTGTTGCAGTTGATCCTGTTGCTGTTGCTGTAGTTGTTTTTGCTGCTGTTGGGTTGCTGGCAGCGATATCGACTTGCTGCCTCCTTTGCGGGCAGCGGCAGCGGCGCGGGCAGCTGCAGTGGCCACAGCTGCTGCCCCAACATCATTATCCAATTTTATCCAATAACAACACACACACAGCATGATAATACCGTTATACCGTTACATAAAACCATGGTCGAAAGAAAAAAAAAACAAAAAAATTTGGCAAAAAGAAATCAAGAGAATGAAAATAGCAAAAAAAAGGAAAGAAAACAAAGCGGAGGCCCTAGAATTCCTAACCAAACTTTGCAAAAAGGGTACAAAATAGTGTCTAATTTTTTTAAAAGGGTTTGTTGAAGAAATCAAACACTATCGATAAATAATTTGATAAAAGATACTAACTAATTACTAACTGTCCATTTTTCCTGACGGGGATCCCTCGAAAATGGGGTTTTCTCCCATAGGGCCCACAGTGATGGTTATATCTTCCCTAATTCTCATCCGATTCTCAAGCGGAGTACCTTAAACGATTTGTGGGTCGATTTGCTACCATTCTGCATCAAAATCCTGAGACAAAATATTTTTCAGATTTTTTGTCCATTTTTCCTGATGGGATCCCTTGAAAATGGGGTTTTCCCCTATAGGGTCCACTGAGATGGCTATATCTTTCCCAATTTTAATCCGATTCCCAAGCGCAATACCTTAAACGATTTCTGGATCGATTTGCCACCATTATGCATCAAAATCCTGAGACAAAATATTTTTCAGATTTTTTGTCCATTTTTCCTGATGGGGTCCCTTGAAAATGGGGTTTTCCCCTATAGGGTCCACTGCGATGGCTATATCTTTCCCAATTTTCATCCGATTCTCCAGCGGAATACCTTAAACGATTTCTGGATCGATTCGCTACCATCCTGCATCAAAATCCTGAGACAAAATATTTTTTAGATTTTTTGTCCTTTTTTCCTGATGGGGTCCCTTGAAAATGGGGTTTTCCCCTATAGGGTCCACTGCAATGGCTATATCTTCCCTAATTCTCATCCGATTCTCAAGCGGAATACCTTAAACGATTTCTAGATCGATTCTCCACTATCCTGCATCAAAATCCCAAGACAAAATATTTTTTAAATTTCTGGCGAGACGGACATATGAACTTAAATCAACTCTGGTGGTGATCCTAATCTATATATGCATATAAGCTTTATAGGGTCGGAGATAATACCCTCTGAAAGGGTATAAAAATAAATTTTAAATGATGTATAAAGCTACTGAACATATCAAGGAACTATAATTAGGAAAAACTCAAAAAAGCTAAGCTAAAAAAAGGACTAAAGTTCTCAAATTCAACAACACTGTCCGCAGAATCTACCGAGCATAAAGTCTTTCAAGGATAACCATCCACAGGATATCCACAGGACACTCATTTCGTATTATATATGGAATTTATGGCCAGCTGGTCAGACATACATATACGCGCCACAAAAAGAGAACAAAAAAGGACGAAAAGGACTCACCAGTATCGCCATCACCGTACTCGGCCATCGAATCGGTGTCGCTCTCCACGCCGGGCTTGTTCGCTGAACTCACGGATTGGCGACCAGCGCTCTTGTTATCCAAACTGCAATCGAACAATGAATCGATTATTAATCGATAAATAATATAGAGAATTAGAAATAAGTAAACTCACGGTTGCGAGTACTCGTGGAAGCCGCCCTCGTCGGGATAGTCCCGCCGGCCATTGGCCAGCTCCCGATCATGGACGTCGTACTTGCCGCCCCGGTTGCGCCGGATAATGCACACAATGATGAAGATGAAGATGATGAAGGCCAGGGCCAGCATCATGCCAATGAACCAGCCGGCATTCGCCACCGTCTCGCTGCGCACCATGGTGGGGCCCTCGACACTGTTCGTGTCGATCTCCTGCGTGGCACTCTCCGTATTGAAGTGACCGTCGACGGACACGACACGGAACTCATAGGCGGTCTCCGGATCCAGACCGGCTACCTCCTGGTAGTCCTTGTTCTTCTCCTCGGGCAGGCGGAGCCATTGCGTTTCACCCTTTATCCTGTATTTTTTTAAAAATTATTTAATATTTTTGTTTCAAAAGGATATTAGAGTTATAGTTCATACCTATACATGGTGAAGAAGTGGGTGCCCGCATGTCCTTCGGTGCTGGGTTGCCAGTTGATGCGGAACTTGGCCAGGCCATTGTCGGAGGGCAGTTGTTCCCAGGAGAACGAGGGCGTGGCAGGTGCCGTCACGGCGGCCTCATCCTGGAGGGTGCGCTTCTCGATGTAGTGCCTGTTGGGAAAATAGTGATTCGATTAACGGAATATAATTGAAATTTATCGATATACTCGATTAATTATCGATAAAATATCTAAAATACCAAATATGATAGTTTATTCAATAGTTTATCGATAAATTCCTTGAAAACCAATTAGTACTCACTCGGAACCTTCTCCCATCTTGGTGGTGGCCGTAATGGAGATGCGGTACTTGGAGTTCGGCTTCAGACCGGCCATCTTCATCCTGGTGACCCTCGGATCGGTGATATGGGGATCGTACTCCCGGCGCTCGCCGACATAGCTGCCCTGCACCTCCTCGTAGTAGATCTTGTAGCCGGTTAGCTTGCCGTTGGGATAGAGAGGCTTCTTCCAGGTCAGCCAGAAGGCGGATGAGCCCAGCGGGTAGGCGTCCAGACCCTGGACAGGCGACGGCACACCTTCGGGTGTATCGAAATCGATGACGGCACTGGGTGGGCCGTTGAAGCGGCCGTTGTAGGCCAGGATGCGGGCAAAGTTCTTGGAGTCGGGCTTGAACTGGGTGACGAGAGCATTGTGGGTGTCGCCCTTGACGTGGATCTCGCGCAGTCCCTCCTCGCCCTCCTTCTCGGTCCAGGTCTGGATCTTGTAGCCCTTGAAGTGGCCCCTCACCGACTCCTCGCTGACGGGCGTCCAGGCCATGTAGCCGCTGGTGGAGGAGGTGATCTGGCGCATCGTGAAGTTGGTCGGCGCGTCCAGAGGACGATCCTCGCCGGAGTAGCCCACCACCTCTTCGGCAGCCACATTGGACTCGCCCCGCTCGTTGATGGCCACCACCTTGATCAGGTACTTGACGAAGGTGGGCTGGTCGGTGATCACGATGTTGGTCTGTCGCCAGTCGTAGATGTTCTGGTTCTCCCAGGGAGCGGCCGGAATGTCGCGTTTCCAGTTGACACGGTACTGGAAGCCGGGGGCGTTGTGCTCGATCTCCGGCATGGGCGTCCACGAGATGACCAGGTTGTTGGGCTCAGTGCCCTGGCCGACCACGTTGTCGGGGTTCTTGTACGGCACATCCGGCTGGGTGGTGCAGCTCTCGCTGTGGGCAGACGGGGGCGAGGGTCCGATCTTGTTGAAGGCGATCACCCGGAAGGTGTAGTTCGCCCACGGCGACATCTGGACCACAAAGGAGAAGTCAGTGTTGGGCACCTTTTCGTAGGCAGCGTCCCAGGAGGCGGGCGTGAAGGAGGTGTTGAACTGGATGGTGTAGTGGAGGATGGGGGATCGGTTGTCGCCCTGCGGCTCCCACGAGATCTCGGCCTTGTCCGCCTGGCAGGTGATGCCCAGCAGCTTGGGCGCGTTCGGCACATCCTGAACGATCAGATTGGCCTTGGCGGTCGCCTCGTCGAGTCGCGTCCTCGCCACGCACGTGTACTCGCCCGAGTCCAGCTCCATGGTCTTGGCAATGGTCAGTGAGTTGTCGTTCGTCTTCACGAACCGGGGCTGGGCCTCGAAGTCGATGGGCTGGCCATCCTTTCGCCAATCGATCAGGATGTCCAGGGTGTCGTCGTGCGCCTCATTGCACCGGAAGGTGGCGGACTGGCCGGCGGCCACTTCGTAGTTCTGCGGCTCCTGGGTGATGCGGGTGTGCTCCTTGACAATCAGAGACCCATCGGCGGACTTGTTTCCAAACTTATTCTCCGCATAACACGTGTACTTGCCGGCATCCGAGAAGGTGACATCCTGAATCTCCAGATCGCCATTAGCCTGGACGTTGTAGCGTCCGCCGGTCAGCCAGTTGCTGCCCCTCAGCCACTTGACCAGGGGCTTGGGAGCGCCCTCGACGCGGCAGGTCATCGTCACGTTGCGTCCGTCCACGCTGGCCTTGTCCGTCGGCTTCTCCTTGATCTCTGGGGGCAGGGCCTGGACATTGAGGTACACATCCCGGTAGACATAGCCCAGCGAGTTGGTGGCGTTGCATCCGTAGTTGCCGGTATCGCCCTTCACCAGGTTGATAATAGTGATCGTGTTGTCGGTGACGGTGCGCCTGGGATTGGGGGTGCTCTGTTCGATGGGCTTGCCGTTGTGGATCCAGCTGATCTTGGGCTCCGGTACGCCTGCGGCGCGACACTCGAAGGTCACCTCCTCGTCCTCGGCGGCGACCTTGATCTCCGGCTCCTTGGTGAAGTACGGCACCGAGTTCACCTCCAGGATGATGGAGAAGGACTGGGCGTTGCCCACGCCGTTGGACACGTCACAGGTGTAGGTGCCGGCGTCGTCGAAATTCGTCTGTCGGATGACCAGTGACTTGCCGTAATGTCCTTGGGTGATGCGATCGCTCCACTGTATCCGCTGGCCGTCCTTGCTCCACACGGTCTGGGGCAGGGGGGTGCCGCCGTAAATACAAAACAGTTCCATGCGCTTGCCGCGCAGAGCCAGCGACTGGCGACGCGAGACGTACTGGCGCACTGGCGGATGCCGGTTCTGGGAGGCGCTGACGCCCATCTGCTTGACGTCGAGAAGGACCTTGTTGCCGATCTTGTACTCGCTGCGGAACACTGACGTGGCCGAGCAGGCGTAGTAGAAGTCGGCGCTGGCATCTTCGCGGGTCACGTTGGAGAACCAGAGATTGCCCTCCGGGTCGAGGGTCATGCGGGAGTTGTTGATCGACTTGATGGAGGCGTCGCTAACCTCCTGGATCATCCAGTTGACGGTGGGGCTGGGGAAGCCGTCGGGCGCCGCACACTTCAGCATGTAGGGCTCGCCCTCGACCGCCTCCAGGGTCTTGGAGTTCTCGTCCTTGAACGCATTCAGTTCCGCCTTCCGCACGTACACCGAGTTCGAGGTGGCGGTGCCGAACTCGTTGGAGGCGAAGCACTGATAGTGGCCGCGATCCTCGTCCCTGGGCGAGGTGATCACCAGTGATCCGCGTCCTGGCTGCTGGAGCATCCGGTTGTCGTACGCCTGCCAGTTGAACTTCTTTCCGTTCTTGATCCAGCTGTACCTGTAACGAGAAAAAAATAAAAATGATTAGGAATTTTTTCGCAATTTCGAGGGCGCTTAGGTGCCACCTATGAGAATCGAGGAGGAGGGCGCTATTTTTAATTAATATTTTAGGTATTTAATCAATTATTATTTTTATTATTTAATTAATTATTTTTTCGATTTTTTATTTCCCTTTTTTTGGGTTACTTAGGTGCCACCTATGAGAATCGAGGAGGAGGGCGCTATTTTTTAATTAATATTTTAGGCATTTAATCAATTATTATTTTTATTATTTAATTAATTATTTTTTCGATTTTTTATTTCCCTTTTTTGGATTGCTTAGGTGCCACCTATGAGAATCGAGGAGGAGGGCGCTATTTTTAATTAATATTTTTGGTAATTATTTAATATTTATATTAATTATTATTTATTTAATTATTTTTTTTAATTTTTTATTTCCCTTTTTTTGGGTTGCTTAAGTGCTTACTATGAGAATCGAGGAGGAGGGCGCTATTTTTTAATTAAATTAAATTAATATTTTTTATTCTTCCCAGTTACCCTAGCCCCCTACCACCCTACCCACCTAGCTCCCTACCACACACCCCCCCTAACAGACTACCCCTCTCCCTCCCTTCCACCCACCCTCCTTTAAATAACATAAAAATGTATTATTTTAATATTTTCATCCACATCGCTAGGGAATCTATCTATAAATCTTTTGACGTCTTTGAGGATGAAAACCATCCAAGACATGTGCATAAATGAAGCCCATCAAGTAAGTATTTTAATTCATTTAATTTCGCCCACTCTCTGAGTAATTAAACTGCCGACATGTTACGATAATGCCATTAAGTTCTCCATAATAATATGGAATTAATTGCTTATATGTCAGAGATAGCTTTCCGATCGTTTAGTTCCACTGGACTATTTTGTAACCGTCGGTGAGATTATCTCATTTTCTCAATTGTCTGGTCGAGTTTTCCGCATTTCCCCACTGACACACTAAATACCGAAAGTATCTATTGGACTTGTTTAATTATTAAACTATTAAATCCGACTCTCGTCCGTCTGTCTAACAACTTAATTTCCACATTTAATTCGTCTTAATCAACATTTCACTCGCAGCGGCGAATCCAAAGAAGAAAATATACATAAATTCTGCGTTATGCACGAATTATGACAGCTTCTTTAATTTTCAATTGCGGAATAAAACAAAAAAAAAGTATATATGGATTGAGGAGAGTAAGTAGGGGGTATCTATATAATTTCTTTTCTTTTTCTTTCATGACTCAAGTAATTGCAATTAAGCGGCAAAAGGAAGTCAACGAGCTCGGCTCAATTTTTTCTTTCTACTTTTTTTTATGTTTTGTATCTCAAGCTTGTATCTTGTATCTTTTTCTGTCAAGATATCTTTTTTTTCGGTCTCATAACTATGCCAGACTTACAAAAAAAGTTACACTTGGAAATTGATATTAAAAGTAATAAATATTTGTGAGAATTTGTGAAGAGGTATAGTTTTAAGAAATTTATTTCATGAGAAAGTATCCACATTTCCACATTATAGATCTTGAAATATTCGTATATATTTAATGCTATTAATCTTCTATTTTTCTTAAATATTTCTTCATTTTTTCTCTTAGTTATAAATGCAACACTCGAAAGCTCAAGTCAATTATGTGGACAGGCCCACGGTGCTCCAGCTTGTTAAGTATCGGAATTTTTATTTAATTTTCCCGTTGCCGTCTTGTTTTCCAGACTCTTTTCATCGGATCTTTTCGGGTTCAGTCTTTAGTTGGGGTCATGCAATAGGTCAATCATTTGAATTGTTTTTAAGTGTTGTAAGTTCAACTGCAGACTGAGTAGTAAGTGAGTTTGTTGAACTGCAGAGACCGACTTGATTTCCAAGTGCCTTTTTTTGTATGCAGAACAGATGAAAAAAAAAATGGATTTTAATTGGAGCTAAAAATAGAGTTAAAGTTCCGTCTAACATTCGTCACCTACCAAAGCAGTCTAGTCTAGTGAATTAAAATAGTTAGTCCATTTTGGTGGCAATTTGCAGTAGCCCTCCGGGTCAGAAAGTCAACTAGGAAACAGCAGGATTCCAGCAGGACATTTCCGTATCAGGACACGTGCATCGGCGGCGGGAAACGCCTGCAGACAAAAGTCAAAAACAGTTGCCACTGACACATTAAGTTTAACCCCTTGTTTATATGCAAAAGGGTCAATAAATTTCAAAACGGAATATCAGGATAGTGGTAGTGGTTGTAGTGGTGGCTCAGGCTCAGGTAGGATGGCCAGTCAACCAGCAAAGCAGAAAAGCACAAAAGTAGCAGAAACAGCAAGGTGGCGACATCGCCCGACACCATCGTGCCTGGAAGTTACTAAAGCGGTCACCCAAAAATGGTGTTTCCCTTTATAGGAAAATATAGGACCAGACAACAGCTGTTTGGGGGAGAGACACGCCTACCTTGGACGCTTACAAAATTGTAGTTGGTTTTGTGCTTTTTAGGATTTTGAACTAGCTTGGGGTTATAGTGAGTGATTTTTGATTTTTAGAAGCAGTTTTTATGTTTAAATTTTCCATATTTAAGAAATATTATTTAAAAATACTAAGAAAATCAGTTTATAATTTAATGTTTTATATTTTTTAAGACCTAACCTCTCCTCTACTATTCCCCATATTTTTTAAGTAACAGCTGCTATTTGTCCTTTTATTTTTTGTGGTTCATTCCTTCCTAGCTCGACACCACTTAACCCCAAAGAGCACTGATAGTTTTAGGGTTGACTTGGCTTCACTTAACTCGCCTCCGCCTCCTTCTCCACCTCCACCTCCCTCCTCAGTTAAATCCAAAGTGAAACCCAACCCCCTTTTAACCAAGCCACTGTTTTCAGCTTTCAACGATAGAAATCTGAATAGAAAACGCGCCAAGAAGTGCCAGGACATGGCTCCTGATGACTCATCAACACGGCTAAAAACACAAGCACACACATACACACACACACTAATACACATACTGCTTTGCATAATCGGGGAGTGAGAATGGTGGGCTCCCTGGCTTTTTTTTTCGCATTTGTGTGCCGTATTTGGGGTTGCAAAATAACAAAATGCCATAGCATACTTTTTTGCGCGGTCGTTCGGTGGAGCACTTTAGGGGGCAGTGAAGTGGAGGGATGGCAGGGCAGGACCACGCCCACCGGCCGGCATCTGCCCTAACCCAGTTACTATATAAAATATATATATGTATGGATTTGTATACTATGTGGCAGTCGCACAAACATATACAAAGGAAGCAGCAGAAGTCAGTCCGTTGGGGAATTGAGAAATATTTTAAAATTATATTTTAAATAAAAATAAATTATATAAAGAGCTAAAAAAAAATGTAAGAAATTAAGTACCAATTTATGAAAATTATTTACATTAATTTACTAAATATTAAACACCTTATAATTCAAATAAAAAATGATGCCTCAATGTCCTTTGAATATGAACTCTATATTGGGGTATCTATTGATGATGTGATACCCGTTACTCCTGTTTTATTTTTCCAAGAAAGTTTATTATGTAATAAAACAAACCTCTTAAAATATATAACCTATTAAACAATATTTAAACACACTTCCTAACTCCCAACTCAATAAGTACCGGCTATAAATCCTTTTTTTAAATAAAACCTTTTAAGATCTTATCCCTATTCTTATACCCTCCATTGTAGATTCCTCGATGTGTGTCTACAAAGTGGAAAATGTTAAAAGAAAGGAGCCCAAGCCAAAACCGCGTTTAGCCAAAGGCAACCCACACACACACACACACACACACACAGACAGAAAAAAAGAAAGTATATACATATATAGGGGGAGAGAAAGGAAAGCTTTGGAAAAGTGAGCAAAGTGTACTAACTGGAGGAGTAGAAGGGGCCCAGACATAGAGTGGTAGGGGGCGGCAGACCAAAGTCAAACAAAAAGGAGCCCCAAGGAGTCCGAAAGGAGCTTCAGAATGGAGGCAAGGCAAGTGGCTAAGATATGGCCAGGATATGATGCACTTAGCCACAAGTAATTATACTCTAAGCAACAGGTTTTAGTCATTTCTCATGAAAATATATTGAACAGTTGATTAGCCAAAGGAAATGGAGTTCTTGAAGGAGGAATTAAGGACTTCATTCAAAGGATTTGGACAAGAAGGACCATCAGGTAACCTATATCTTTATTATCCACGTTTTCCCCATTTAATTTTTAATTACTTCCTCGCCAAATTAGTCACTTTTTGGCACAACCCCTCAGAGACCTTAGGGTATTCCTCTTGGACTCTCTTTCAAAATTAATTCCAGGAAATATCCCACCTACTGCCATATGACGGCCAAAAGCCAAAAAACTTTAAATGGCCTAAGGGCCGTGGGAAGGGGAAAGTCCTTTAACGACAAGGGTTGGCCAAAAAAAAAATTAAGTCCTTTGGCTGAACAGCAAAAAGCTTTTTTCGGTTAAAATCAAGAAAGAAATAGCCGGGGGGAGAAGTGGATAAAAACGCGGGTGGAAAAACGGGAGGAAAAGCAAGGAAAATCAAATGGAAATATGTAAGAAAACTGGGCTGGTTATCAGTAGTGTTGTTGACATTCTTGTACAGTGTATATTCTGGGCATGGATACAAGAAACTAAGAAGGAAGTTACTACAGTACAACCTAAATTAAAGCTATTTAAAGTTTAAATTAAATAAATAAAATATATTTCATAGCTTTTTCGAGTAAATAAAAGCAAGTTCTGCTCTTTATCTTCAAAACTATAAAAGAAAAACCCCCAAAACCCGTCACCCAGGAGCTAACTTTGGGGGTGTTATAAGCTTCCAAGTGTCTCCAAGGTATCAACATACTACATAACAACAAGCAACAAAACAAACAAACACACAGAAAATAGGACACGAAACTCCACCGGCTTCTAGGGGCTCATTAATGGCCGGAAAACATGCAAACAACAATGTTTTTTTTTTTCTTTTTTCTTTTTTTTTATAGTTCGATGGAGCAAGGATAT